CGGTATTGGGCTGAAGAGAGCAGCAGCCTTTGGAGGACGGGGAACTGCCGTGCTTTGTTCGGGGATCAGTGAGCACAGCTGTGAGCGGTGTGCCTGGTCGGTTGAAACGGTTCCGCCTTGTTTGGTTGTGTGTGGGGGGGGGGGGCGCGTGCGCGCGCGCGCGCGTTATTTCACCCACTTCGGGAGCTTTTTGCACCTCTGCTGTACGAGGGGGCGAAGGTGAAGCCCTTTAGATTTTGAAAATTTATCAAGACACAGCCCTGGTAAATGATGTTGGAAGGCTCCCGTCAAAACTGCATGAGGTAGGAGAGCCCGAGCAATGCTGAACATGACCTTAAACTGGTAAAAACAGGTGAGCGATTTGTGGACCCCGAATGTTAAATCAAGAATTCAGTATGCTACGCCACCGTGGAATACGGAACCAAATGTCCGGAAACTTTATCGGATGTGCGCTGAAGGAAATCGACAGATGTGACCTGCGGCATGTTATGCCAGGTCAAGAGGGTAAAGGCTTTAGTTGCATTGGCTCACCCGGCTATATCAAAGACTAAACAAATCACATTAATGGGAAAACATGTCTAAAGACTACTTCAAAATTGCCACAAAGCTTGAATTATACAATCTTTAAAAGGTAAAATCTGGTAACTAAGGTCAAGGTTTGACCAAGCTGGACCTTGCATGGCCCGATTTTTTTTTAAGTAACCGGAATGATAGCATTGCACTTAAGAGCGATACACTTTGTTATTTGTTTCCGATTATGAGCAACAGTTCGGAAGAGCAGTCGAAAACACCTTTCTGGGGCACATCTCCTGCGAGAAATAAGCGTCATTTGTCACTTCTGAGCAAAATGTTATGAACAAGATATCGTGAGGGGTCATAGGCCATGCACTTCCAAGGGCAGTAACCTGAAGTTCTCATGACAGGTGTAAAAAGTGCACGTCAGACACGGTCTACTCGATGATCTCATTTTGCATTGGCATTGGGCGCCACTTGACCAGAAAGGATGCAACATTCGCTCGGCGTTTTATGTCTGTGTGATCTTAAAATATCCTTCAAGGTTCGCGGGCGTCTAGCTCAGAAACTAGAGACTTAAAAAGGACAGGATTATGAGATGCATTGAGTGATATTAAAATAGCCATCTCGCGCAAAAGCCACATGCAAATGTGGAGCACTTCTCTTGATCCCACCGCTTTCATACGGCAGGGGAGGGCCCGATCGCCAGTGCGCGCATGCGCATTTGCCTGTTGTTTACTCCGTTTTCCCCGTTTTCTGCATGTTTGTGTCACGGTTGTGCACTATAAGGTGTAAATAATTGTCAATAGTGGAGTGTAAACAAAGCAAGTGCAGCAAGCTGCAAGTGTACGTAATTTGACATTGCGCTGCCCCAATTTTGAACTTTCAGTGAGGTACTAAAATTAAACACAATAAAATCCACGAATACCGCTCAGCGTCATTCGTGTGCCAACGAGAACAGGTTACTTAGTGCAGAAAGAGAGGTCATCACCTCATGGTTTTGGTATTTTGGTAAAGGTTAAACGGTGTTGTAATGCTAGTTAAACGACTATATTGACGGTACTCATATTACTACTATACACATATATTTATTTATGTATATGTATGCATATATATGCATGTATATGTATATGCATATGTATACATGCATATATATATATATATATATATATATATATATATATATATAAAGGCGTAGGCAAAGGGGAAAGATCAGGCCCCGGGCCACCCCCTTTGGCCCGGGTTTTTTGTTTTCATTGCAGAGGACTTCCGACAGAAAGCTAAAAATCGGCGTGATGCTATCTCACCGAGCTTCGAGCCTCTCCCTTAACACGCCCCCGGGTGGCCGGTTGGATACCCTTCGCTCGGGTAGGGGTCAAACTGACCCCTGAGATCTCGGTAACTAAGAGAGCTAGAAACACCAAATTCCCAGAGTGTGTTGACCTGTACGTGAACTCTCTTAGGTCAAAGTTTGAGGTTCCTTGGTCATGACCTTCGGGTAATATAAGGTCAAACAAGGTCAAATTCCAGATTGGTTCTCAAAGGGCCCCAAGAACCTAGGCAACTGTTCTAAGCAAAATTGTATACGCTCAGTTAAGGTCGGTGACCATGTTTGACCCTTAAAAGGTCATAATGACCAAATGATATAAGACTGTTTTAAGTTTTGCATTTGGATAACCGACAAAGAAAACGCTGTACAGCATGTTCTTAAAAACCAAATGTTAACCTGGGTCATTTTAGGTCAGTGATCTGTTTTGACCTATAAGAGTTCCATGAAATGTGTATAATGCGGTTCCTGCTATCAATATATTCTAAATGAGCACCAGAAACCAGCCCACACAGCAAGCCCGGGACTGAGAGTAATAAAACAGGTCGGTTTTGACCTTGGTCTGACGTTCATGTCTGACCCTAGGTAATGCTATATGTTTATTCAATTGTTGTGTTGCCTAAGAAAGTATCTCAGAGGTGTTTGGCTTCGTCTAACACTCCGTTGTTTGATCGGATTGAACGATTCCCTAGAAGGTGTCTTCGCTGAAACCATGGCTTGACTTTGACCTGGTGAGCGACCTTACAAGGTATATCTGAATTTTTAGGTCAGACGATCCGTTACTCAATTGTCTACAGCTATACCAAATTTGGCACGGCTGCGCCACGCCGTTCGGAAACCATTCCGGGAAAACCTTCGCAGGGGTCAATTCGACCCCCGCCCCACCCCACCTGAGCATGTGTTGACAAAATCCTGATTGCGTTCCTGTATACATACATCGAGAACACCCGAGCCGCATCGGGAACTTACTCTGGCCGCTACAGATGCTGCGGCAGGTCTGCGTCTCAGCCGATCAGCCAAGTCTGGCGGCGCCGTCCGGCGACCCCCAGACACGGCGACCCGCGTCTGGGCCTGGGCTCGGGCCGGATCACCGCGCGCGGACGCCTCGGACCCACACAGAACGTCGATGTCGCACCGGCCGGCGGCAGCGGCTAGCGCCATTGTGGGCCACGTCGAACGCCCGGTCCAACCGCAGGCCCAGTCTCACCGGAACCGCGAGCGTGCCACAGCCAAATGCCGCCTGGGCTGTTGGGCGAAACTTAAACTGCTCAGATGCTGGATCAGATCTTAATTGTGTGCAGCTGTTTGTATACGTGCGTGAGGAAAACAAGGTCGCGGCCTTCTGTCTGAAATATGTCCGTGCAAGAGTTTGCCTTATTCTAGTTAACGTGCGAGTGGGTACGAAACTGACTTAGTCTTCACGATAACGTCCAGACCTCTAATTTGATTGTCATTATGATAAACACTCGTAAGAATCTGATGTACCATCTCTTTCTTCGTGCGGGGTGCCAGGGCTGTTCTGTGTTGGCTATTTGGCCGGCCGGACTGCATGCAATAACCGCGTGGCAGGTACTGCAGGGCGCTGTAGATCTCGAACAAAATGAAACCACGACGACGGCGTGGTCAACGGGCTAGGTTCGAGGGAGACTGTAACGCCAGGCAGCGGAATTTCTGCTCCCAAACATTGCGAGCGGGCATGCTCAAGATTATGTCATGTGATTGCTGTCACCGAGCGACTTTGTAAACGAACCGACGTCTTCAGGCTAGCATAAATATGTAATGCTAATCAAAATTGTACCTTTTTCGATTCCCCTTCTACTACGGAGACCCCTACCTTTCCTGGACACGGGGCTCCGTGGGCAGATCGCTAGGGGGGGGGGGGCACATCACATTTTCCTGCGAGGGGCTCCTCTCAGACTCTGATGGGGGTGTCCATTGGCTGCTGTTCTGGCGATACGGGACCGGGCCTGTGTTGTATACGGAGGAGCTCAGTTTTTCATATCATGCGTCATGGATAGCTCCGACACGGTCAGAAGGTCCGGGTCGACGCAGAGACCCTCAGTGACGAAAAAGGATCTCTCACCGATGTAGAGGGTCCAATAGTTGGCACAGAAAACTCAACGCAAATTATTCGTCCCTGGCCGAAACGGGTCGGAAGACCGCTGCTGGAACATGGGCCCTTGACTAATACAAGACATTTCTCATATATCATTGTGGACCCTTTCACTGGTGTTTCACATGCCTTTTCTTACTGTCGGATGACCCCGCCCTACGCAAGAGGTCCTCCAACCCTTGGGTCCCGTGCCTGTCCCTGTTCAGCAGATATGCCCTTAATCGTTAAGCTGTAAGACAATAGACATTGTGGGCTCCTGGCCGACACAAGGGGTCCTGCATTGTTCCAGAGGCAAGAGACCTCACCAACGGAAGAGAGATTCTGTGACAATCACGAGTCCAGGCCTTGTCCATGTCTAGGAGATGGCCCTCAGGGTCCGGACACATGCCGACTCTCGGTATTGTCCCCAGGGGCCCTCCATCATCCCAGATGGCCCCGATCAGCGCAAGAGGCCCTCTGAATAATGTTTTGAGGGTGCAACCCTGGGGCTCAGAGTCCTCTAATACGACCTTTAGCAGGCCCTTCTGGAGATTACGGCCTTCTTGGAACCGATAGCGCTTCGGCTGCATGCTTGGAAAACCAGAACTACGGGGTAGATTCCCCGCGTTGCATGCCCTTTCTGCTAGGTTGAGGGGCAGGCGACATCAGCAATTCTCAGCAGCTGAGTGTGCCATAAAACCCTGATGACGATATCAGGGCCCCCAATTAGGCCCGCGGTCGTCGGTTTCTTTGGGTCCTTCGGTGCTTAAGTGTGGGGGGTTACACGCCCCCTTGCGCCTTCCTGCCTGCGCCCTTGGCGCGAGAGTCATTGTAAGACTTCGCTCAATTAAAGTCTTAGTGTCGTTTCCGTAAGTGTGCACCGAAATCGATACGCGTCGCTACAGCAATGCACACAAAATGCTTCGTGTGCACTGCGCAAAGTATGAGTTCTTATATCAGCCGCTACGAGCGCTGGCGTCGGCCGATTACGCCCGTGACGTCGTCGGTTCAGTGCACCGGCTTGTTCTTGTGGGGAGGGGCGCCAGTAGCGGCAGCAGTGCGCGCGCGGAGCGGCAGGGGTGGTGCCGCGCCGGGTTTGGCAGTGGTGTGAGGGCGCGGCGGGGACGCGGGCGCATCCCCTCTCGTCAGCCGCGAGCCTCGTGTCTCCGGCGACCGACGCGGCCGCTCGGGTGACAGGTGTGCTCTGGACCTGCGGCGCCTGTGCGTGGGCCGGGCCGGCTGGCGAACGCACGCGGGCGGGAGCGCTGACGGCGGCGGCTGTGCTCTGATCCTGAGGTCTCCTGCACCACTCTCCAGAAGCCGCCACCATGGTGAGGAACCGACGACCGGTCGGACGGGGGCTAAGCTTACTCATGTGGAAATCGCGTCAGTTATTGCATAACGTGTGTATCACCATGGAGTTGACAGCTTGATATCTGCTATCTGCAAGGCGTGATTGCGAGGATTATGGTTGCAAATCGTGTGTGCAGCAGGCTGATAAAGCGACAGGCGAGTGTCCGTCGGGACGGTACACACAGGTAGGGCGTACAATGTTTGACATGTTGTATGTAGCATGTTTCATTAACGCCCCAATGATACATAAACACACCCACGCACATGTAGATAGCCCCTTCAGGCTATTTCCCCCTTCATGCCGTGCGATTCTCGACAAAGCTTTCCTCAAAGTATTTCCTCCGCGTCACGGCGTGGGTACAAGACCGAGGATGGCGTAGTGAGGACAAGCCAAGCGCAGCTGCTTGCGTTGCATGGGCTCCAGCTGTGTGGGACGTCATCAGTCCTCATACCCACAGGACTTCTCCGGCCCTTGAGCACTGAGCAGTCGCGGGTGCTTTATATCAGGGGCGTGGCGACGTGCGCCGCGTTCCCAAACAACAACAACGGCACCCCCGCCCCCGGGAAATGGTTGGCGGGTCTGGGAATCAAATAAAATCACGTTCATCTCATGTTGTGGGGGTTGTCTTCGGAGCAAAGACATCGTGACCATGGACCCAGGCACCAGGTGACGCGTCCCGGGTGTAGACCTCGCCTCAGACGGCTGCCCCATCGTCCCTGAGGGCTTCATGTGGCCGAGGATCGGGCCGGTGCGGCGGGGAGGGAGGGGTGGGGCGTGCGGAGCTGCCTGGGGCGCAGATGGTGCTCCGGGGTTAGTTCGGGTACTGCAGCCGCCTGCTGATGTTTTACCCGCCGGGCTAAATGGCCAGGGAGGCGTGTTTTTGGGCACGTTTTACACACTCATGGGGGCGTCGCGTGAGCATGTCACAATATACCGGCATTTGGGAAAGTCAAAGACGTATGACGCTAGATTTACCACAAACATGAGAACGCGTTATGTTTAGCGTCAATCATGAGCATCTTCTGAGGAGTGCTCGGACCCGGCTGCGATGGCGCTGCTTGATGTCGCTTTTCAGTTTGCGATTTTAGTGAAACCATGTGTATTGATAGCCGTTTTTTCATCCCCTCCCTCAACTGACGAACGGAAGGCGCAATGTGTTGCCGCCGTCATGCGTGCGAAAACATCGCATAGCGTCTCGATTACATGTGATGCATGCTCCTTCCTATCTTGTGTTCCCTTGAGAAATGCTCCTGTTGCTAAAATCATCTGTTGTTGATTTATAAGCATGAGTCTGTTGTTTATGCTTTGAATGATCCTTTGAATGATCTGCCTACGGTTTGTTTCCGGCCCGTGGTCATTGTTGAGCAACCGAGTCATGCGTTGCAAGAACCCTGGAACACATGCCCCGGTACCATCGGTTGAGCCTCAGCACTGCACCCACGTATTGCAACGGTGCTCTAAATCATCTGACGGCTCGTGTGACTGACGATCCTGAAGTTAGCGCCCCTTCAACGACAAAATACGAGGCTACGAAGTATGACTGATCACGATAGACCGGGCCGCCTGGCACCTCGCACCAGCAGCGCATGGCATGCCCGTCCACAAGGCGACATCCACCGGAAGAGGACGCCACAAGCGCTTCCCGTCTGAGGTTTCCACCCAGTGCGCCTCTGCCGCATCAGACCGCATGAATCAGTCTTGCACGCGCAGTGTTTTCCCTGGCGCAGCTGTGTCGGTCGCCAGTGCTGCGGGCGCGAGCGCGACCGGCCCGCCCCGCTCCGCCCGTCTTCATTCCAATAACGAACGGCTTCCGCACGTGCGGCCCGCCGGCGTGGCGTCGGCTGCTCGCCGAACCGCGGCGTGCGCGGCTCTGAGTCAGCCGCGCCCGGCCACCGCGGACGACGGCGGCCTGGACGGCGGCCGCTGAGTCAGCCGTCGTGGCGACGCACGTGCCCCGCACGGTGCGGACTCGGCTGTTTCCGCCTGGAAAATGGTCGCTCGTGCTGCCGACACGAGCCAACGTGCATGATGTCATCCTCATCTTCTGCAGTCGACTCGGTTGACTCGGTGTTTGACGAGAGCCCGTCGGAGAGAAGCCGGTCGGTACCCGGCTGCGGCAGCGGCCGGGCTGCGGTTGTCGTCGCTAAAGCGTGAGACCGGGCGACGGCGGGCGCCAGCCTCACGCGAGCCCCAGGGGTGTTGTTCCCAGCTGTTGTTCCGGGCCCGACCCGGGCGCCGGGAGAGCGCGGGACCGTGCTGCCCTCCCCGCCGCCGCCCGCCCCGCCGCCGAGCCCACTTTCACTGAACGGGATCAGCTGCGGCGGCGGGCGGCGGGACGCCGGCAGGTGGGAGTGAAACCGAGCCTGCGCGCTGGCCGCGTGCAGCCGCCGCGCCGGGGCCGTCGGCACGTCGGCACGCCCGGCACGCGGCCGCGCGCGGCACGCGGCATCGGACGCGCCGGGGGCGCAGTGGGCGTGTCCCGCTCGTGGGACTCCCTAGCCAAGACCGCTCCATGAGACCGGGTCGCGGTCAGGAAGTGGTGAGGGTCGTGTGGAAGACGATGAGAGTGGTTTCACGAAGTTATGCCTGTCGAAGTCGCGGCGTTAATCTCGTTAGTCTTATTAAATGCTGGTACCGCATGGTACTAATACATCGCGTAATAGGCTAAGACTGTTGGCGAGATACGCGGAAGTCTGTTAAGGTGGCGGAATGAATGTCTTTTAGCTTGCATGTAGGGACTGCAAAATTAGGTCATGCGACCCTGGGACACATGTAACTACGTTCTTCACCCCTGGCGTCGGGCTGAGATAAGGCCTTTGGATCTGAGAGGCAGTATGGTAAACATTACTTGCACTTACCACGGCCACTCCTGTTACGGTTCTGCGACTGATAAGTCTGGCATCCGGACGAACAGTTCAGCAATCAGACTTCATGGTTTGTAATCCTTCAGACCTGCATGTGCCATCAGCACGGCCTATTAACACACGGTCATAAGAGTATTTGGTCAGCCGTCCATTCATCCGCACTACTGAAATATTGAGGCGAGATAACATCCCATCCATACATCCTTGTGCGCATCGGTACTCCATTCGGCGGCAGCCTGCACGTCGCATTCGACGTGCCGCTGGGCCGCATTGGCCAAACTGCCAAAGTTACCAAGCAGTAATGCGTCTACCATCTATTCAAGCTGGATACATCTTTGTCGCGGCCTACGTAGCCGATCCAAAGGTTATTAAGCTGTTGTGCAGTCATATCAGGCCGTCCCAAACACAATGGAGCCGACGACGTGCCAAACACTCCGGCCGGCGGTCGGTGCGTGACGGCCGGGCGTACCCCGCCCCGCGTGACTGCTGCCCAGGGCGTGGGCCTCTCCGCTGGTGCTGCCCCGAGCGTGGGCCGCTCCGCCCGTGCTGCCCCGAGCGTGGGCCGCTCCGCCGGTACTGCCTCGAGCGTGGGCCGCTCCGCTGGTGCTGCCCCGAGCGTGGGCCACTCCGCCCGTGCTGCCCCGAGCGTGGGCCGCCCCGCCCGTGCTGCCTCGAGCGTGGGCCGCTCCGCTGGTGCTGCCTCGAGCGTGGGCCGCTCCGCTGGTGCTGCCCCGAGCGTGGGCCGCTCCGCCGGTGCTGCCTCGAGCGTGGGCCGCCCGCCCGTGCTGCCTCGAGCGTGGGCCGCCCGCCCGTGCTGCCCCGAGCGTGGGCCGCTCCGCCGGTGCTGCCCCGAGCGTGGGCCGCCCCGCCGGTGCTGCCCCGAGCGTGGGCCGCCCCGCCGGTGCTGCCCCGAGCGTGGGCCGCCCCGCCGGTGCTGCCCCGAGCGTGGGCCGCCCCTGCCCGGGGACCGCCACCGGCCCGGGCCGCGAGCAGGCGAGGCGCTCCGGTGATCAGCAGGTGCCAGGGATGTACCGGGCGGAGACCGGAGCCTCGGGGAGGAGAAGTCGAGTCGTCCTGGTGCTGGTGCCATGGCCGCGCGTGCGCCGGGAGGAGGAGCGCACACGGTCATTTGAAGGGAACGACCGCCGGCCGACACTTCAGTGTGTTTGAAGTGCGATGTTTTTGCAGGGTTTGGCTGGTTTCTCAGTTGTGTAAATTGGGATTGCGCTGCGTCTAAGATGCTCAAGAACGCGATCTGATTCAAAACTGTTACAGCAATCTATATATAATCTATCTATTCGTAATGCAATGTGAACAAGGTGTTTGTTAATGCAGACGAGGACTGTAATTCAGACGGCTACATGCCTGGGGAAAGGTAGCCAAAATATTGCGTACATATATGATGTGAACCAAGCATTTGATGTGCTGCGACTGGCGTGATTCCGTAAAAGCTTTGCGAACTTGATATAGCTAGCATTACTTCCTGCTGTGGATGAAACGCGAAGATCTTTGTGCTGGGCTGGGACTCTTCAGTTAGATAATGATGACGGAGTGCATCATGCTGTAGCTATCAGGATCTTAAGGGCATGACATATTTGATCGTTAGAACTGAGAACAGGGAAGCGTAGAACCGATCAGCCGATGCGCGCCGGCTGACTGATGCGGAAGCAAGCGTTTCCAAGCCAGCTCTCCGTTCTCACGTGTACCAGGCCGCCAACGGTGTGCGACACAGTTTGCGGGTGGCGGCTCGGGTGACAGGTGGCGGCCCGTGTCTTGGTCGGGTCCGGACCACCTGGACCGGCTCCGTGACCGCGTCAGGGTAACCCGATAGGGGCCGGCGCAGACCTGCTCGGATTCAGCGCACGATCGCCGGCGGGCACCGCTACCAGGGGCGCTGCCCGCGGTCGTGAGAACCGTCTGCCGCGGGCGACGGGGACGCGGCGCGCGGCCTGCGGCCCGCTGACTCCTGACGTCCGCTCCGACGGTCGCCGGTTCCCTGTAGCTCTTGTCTGCTCTCTGCAGCCCCCCTCCCCCCGCTTCCTGCAGCTCTCCCCCGTTCCCTGCAGCTCTCCCCCGCTCCCTGCAACTCTCCCCCGCTCCCTGTAGCTCTCCCCTGCAGCTCTCACCGCTACCTGCAGCTCTTCCCTGCCCCCTTCGGTTCTCCCTCGCTTCCTGCAGCTCTCGCCCGCTCCCTGTAGCTCTCCCCCGCTCCCTTTGGCTCTCCTCCGTTCCCTTCAGCTCTCTCTCGCTTCCTTCAGCTCTCTCTCGCTCCCTGCAGCTCCCCCTGCTCTCTGTGGCTATCACCCGCTCCTCGATGCTACCCTCCTCTCCCTTCAGCTCTCTTCCGCTCCCTGCAGCTCTGCCACTGCTCCCTGTCGCTCGTTCCTGTTCCCCGCTACTCTCCCAGTTTGCCCCCGATGCTCCCTCGTCGTAAACCATGATGGCTGACATGTTTCGTCTCCCCGCCCGCCCATTCATGCAAGGCACCCCATTTATGTAAATACAACGATCTGTTTGCGGTCTTTTCCTCTGTTCTTGTATTTGCAGCACGCTCATATTTGCATTCCCATTTCCCTGATGGCATGCACACATCATGCCTTCAGCGAAACGCCCATCATTTCGCGCGTCGCTCTTGGACCCCGCGCCGGCCCGTCCCGTCCCGCGTTTGACCGGCGCCCGCCCGTCGCGTCCCCCGTTTGACCGGGTCCCGGTACGGCCGGCGCCGGTCAGCTGATTCATCGCCAGCTGATCGGTCACGTGACCAGGGCCGCTCCCGCCTGCTTCGGCCGGCGGTGGTGCCGTCCATGCTGGCCGGAGACGTGCCGTGCGGGGGGGGGGGGGCTGCTCTGCAAGTCACCCGACGCTCGATCAGAAGGGGCAGGTCGCGTGGTTTGCCATGAGCTTGCCACGGTGCTGCGGCCTTACTCACCACTACGGAAATCCGGCCTTTGTGTTTTGCGTGGGAGCCGTGAAATGGCTGCGCGTAAGGTCGCGGATGTGAGTTTGTTGGTTCGTGTGCAGCGTTATCGCTTCGCTCGCCCGCTATTCACATCTGAGGCGCTTGAGTGCTCCGCTAGCAGTCTTGTCCCTGTTTTACGTGAACTGCCGTTTTGCCAACAAGTGAGCTGGCGGAGAGGATCGGCTCATGGAAAAGCCGCGCTGCTGCCGAGACCAAATGATTCATCTGAAGAGCGTCTGTTCCGCCCAACGGGCACCAAACAACGGAGATGTTGCCATTTTTGCCATATTCTCTTCAGCGAGCTGTCAGATCGCTAATTGGCAACCGTTTGGGAGTGCCCTCATATTTAAAAGTACTACCACAGGTGCTGCCGTGTTTCAAATTCCACCATCATTCCAGTAGGCCCCGTGAATGCTAGAGCCAAAACCCCAAAGATTGTTTATGGTGCGGGGAGCGATCGCGTGGCTGAAATGGTATGAATTAGTCGGAAGTAGCGTGACCTCCCACGCGTTTACCTGGGGTTATTTTCTCCCCACGTGCCGTGCGCCTTCATGGTCTCTGACATTACTCTTCGTTGGGTGATCACGGCACCGACGGTACGTACCGTCTCTGGAGATTAAGCCAACAGGTGACGCGGGGCCGGTGGGCGCCGCTGTGCCCTGCGTGGGCCGTGCGTCGGTAGCTGCAGCGGCGCCGTCGGCCGGCCGGCGGGGCTGGCGGGAAGGCGTCGGCGAGCTGCGGCGCGGCGGAGGGCGGTGGTGACCTTGTACCGGCGCACCGGCCGGAACCGCTGCGATAACAGCACCTCTGATAGCGACTGAGCCCCTCCGCCTCCACCGCAGAGGCGGACACAAGACGAGCGCCAACGGGGACCGTGGTCTCTCACAAAACGGCCAAGACACGTCAAGCGGCACGGTTTTGTTTTATTGTAGTGCGGCTGGCACCGAATGTCGGACTTGTTGCCTCCCTCCCTCCCCCCTCCCCCTCCCCCTCCCCCCTCCCCCTCCCCCCCCCCCGACGGACTTCGGCGCTCCCGAGATTTAGTTGCTCTGCGCTTGCCCTGTTCCGCACACATCCCGTCCCCACCCCATCCTCGCTCCGTTCCCACCCCGTCCCCGCTTCATCCCCATCTCATCCGCGCTCAGGCCCCGTTCCTCATCCCGCGCCCCGCCCGGCCCCACGCCGTGCCGCTGCACACCCCTGCCTGATGTGCCTGCTGAGCGGCGAGCCAGCTCCGCTCGGCCCCGCCCGCTCCCGCCGCACCCTGTCAGTGGCCGGGGCTCGGGCCTGGACGGGCCTGATGGCTGCCGGGCTGCCGCTGGTCTGGGCCGAGCGCCGTGCTGGTTTGTACCGGTACCCCAGTGGGGCGCTGCTGGACTGTACCGGTGCCTGCTGGCCTGCTGATGGGTCGTACCGGGTACCCTGTGGGGCGCTGCCGGACTGTACTGGTGCCTGCTGGCCTGCTGATGGGTCGTACCGGGTACCCTGCGGGTCGCTGCCGGACTGTACCGGTACTTGCTGGCCTACTGATGGACTGCACCGGCACCTGCTGGCCCGCCGAAGCACTGCAGGACGGGACTTGTCCGTTCAGTGGGCGTGGTCCGGAGCCGCCCGGTACCAGTCGGGCCCGAACGCGGACCGCCTGCCGTGCCGAGCACCATAACGCCCTGGCTGGGCCACCACTCGACCGCGCGCCGACCGCCGCTGACGCTGACGCCCCCGCCCCGCCCCCAGGTGTACCACTGGCAGTCCAACGACGTGAAGCGCTCGGGCGTCGACGACATGGTGCTGCTGCCCCGCATCAGCGAGGACGCCATCGTCGACAACCTGCGGAAGCGGTACAGCGATAATTGCATCTACGTATCCTTTTGACGCGACCGAGTGCCGGTTGATGAGGTCATTGCGGTCGATCGGGTGCTGGTTAGCGGTCAGATGCCGCCGTTTTTAAGACTGGACCGGGAGTCCGGTGGAGCGCGGGATTTGACCGCTCTTGATATGTCCGTGCAAATATCAATTTCAGGCCGTCTGCTTGCGATCACTTTTGAACTGCCATTGATTCGGCAGATGCTTTTAGCCGCTCTTGAAGACCCAATACTCCGCTCCTTGTCTGGCAATGTACCACGCTGATAGTCGGGCAGTGGCGAGCACCCGGTACCGCGCCCGGCTGGGTGCCGCCAACAGAGGGCGGTGAAGCACCAGCACCCCGGGCTGACCGGGAGAGGGGCAGACCACGGGTCTGGCGTTAAGTGACACAGTGCAGCGCTGCGCGGCCGGCGGCTGCACCAGTCCGCACGCGGCGCTGTCGCGCGCGTTGACGTCGGCCGGGGCTTCCCGTTGGTGTCTCCGACCGCTGCGCTGCGCGTCTCCGACCGCTGCGCCGCCGCGGACCTCTGCAGGCAGCGGCCCCGTCAGCCACCGGGGGGGGGGGGGGGGTCGGCGGTCAGGGCGGGAGCGTGACTCAGCCGGGCGGCGGCGCTCCGCGGACCACCGCCGCCCGCGACGTGTTGCCCCACCGCCGCGGGACGTCCTTTGTGACCGGACCGTGACGGCTGGACGGTAAACAGAGACGGCACGGTCCCGGGACAGACGGTCGCCGCGGACCGGGCCGCGGGGGTGGCGCGTGGCCGGCGGCGGCGCCGCAGCCCAGCGCCCCCCGCCAGGTCCGCCAGATGACCTTGTGATTGGGCCCCGGCGACCGACGCAGCGAGCGGCTGTGACGCGGCTGTTTCCTGCCTGCTCAGCCCTTTTTGCTGGTCGACGGCGAAACGATGATTGACTGTGGGACAGGGGTGTAGTTTCCTGTGCAGTTAGGCGCGGGCCCTTCAGCTTCCCCCAAGTTTTGGGAAGTCAGTGGGTCAAAGTCGGGAGGAACCCGTTTGTTTGCATATTCTCGATGTGCGATGCGTCATTTTCCACGAAACAGCCCCCCCGCCAACCCATTTGGCAAATCTACGCCCCTGCTGTTGGGGCACTGGCGATGCTGGGGCGTGTGGCGCGATTGACGTACGCGGTCACGATTCACCTTTTAGCTGAGCATTTAGGTGACGTCATTCAACACACATAAACCCATGCTTGTGGGAGTCGGCTCGGCAGCGAGCGCGCTGTCCCCGCGTGACGTCACGTGACGACGTCACTGGCTGGGAGGGCCGGGATTTTGTGCGCCACGCTGGGTCGCTAACGGACGCCCTCGGTGCTCCCTGATTCGCTGACGTGGGCGCGAGCCGCTGCTGTGAGCGTGCCAGCCGCTAACGCAAGCAAACCCGAATGCCGTCCGGAACAATGGCCTCAGCTCGCATGGCTGGATGGCTTTAATACCATCGACGCAATGAATTGTTCACTTTGTGCGATGTGAACATAAAAGCCACGAGACTGTGGTGAATGGGAACTAGGCTGCAAGCATCCGTGCTCAAGCATTTTGACAGGGTTCCTTGTAACCATCCATGCGACGGTAACGGTTTGCCGTGGTACTCCCGCAGCTGCTGGGGGGAGTTTGGAACCGACCACCATCCGCAATGATTTGGTTTCGCTTCCTCGCTCTCAAAATTGCATCTCAGAGTGAAGAATATGGCACGTGTAGTAGCGTGTGGCTACTGCATTGCTACAAAGGGTCCTAGGCCTTCGCCTATGGCATGGCGCTGTGTTCAGTGCATGGCGAGAGTGCAAACATGTAAACATGTGAGCTGGAAAAATCTTGCGGTTTGAGTTGTCGAAAATGATCAACCGTCAGTAAAGTTATAGAAACAGGTGAGGCGAAGATCCCCTGCAATAATTTGAATATGTTATGAAAATGCTCGGCGCCTCCAGCGGGGTTCATGGTCACGAGTTGTTATTATCTGAAGCTGAAGGCCGTTCTCACGTCATCATATCATGCACAGACTACTTCCGCATTGGATACCCACATTCACGCCCCGGGTGGGTCTAAGGCCTCTGGGCTCTTTCAAGATCGCAATGCGATGACAATGGCTGCGCGACGGCTGCGACGGGCGGTTGCGGAACGTTGCGCGTGGAAGGTTGCATGATAACATGTGGCGAGCGACCTTAATAATGATTTTCTTTGTGTATACTTTTTCCCGGTTAAGTTATGATTCTAACAAGCTGTTGGCGTCCTTAGTCGCTGTGCAGTTGCAGGGAGAGAATTTTAAGCCATCGCAGGTGTAGCGACGCAACAACCAAAATTTTTACGTGGAGATTGAGAAATCTGATCACGCAACTTTTCAACGTGCCGCCTGGGAAGCGTAATCTTAGTTGGGCGTGGCTTAGCGCGGCACGGAGGGCGCTTACACGTAAGCGGCTCAGCGTTCGCTAGTACCGCATTCGTTCGTCCTCCCCGCCTATTCGCTGCGCAGGAGTACCTTTGATCTAATATTCTGTCCGTTCCTCTGACCGCAGTTCGCATGTCGAACTATGGCTGGGCGTCTCGATCTGCGAGTGACGTCTGTTTGCCCGCGTGTTTCCCCTGGCCGCAGTTACGCGGTGTTAGGAGTATTTCATCGGTGCTATGCGGCGTTCTAATGCCAGCTGAACAACTCATGGAGCGCCGGCTCGGGGGAAGTGGGCCGGCCGGTAATGCTACCGCAGCACGTGCATGGCCTTGTGGCGGAGGTGCACAGCAGCCATGGACGTGCAGGTGGCGCTCCAACGGCGACCAGCTGACGGAAGTGGACTCCGAATGAACGAAGGACAAGTTACTGTTAACAACGCTTTGCGGTCATTAACGCCTTCCTCATGTGAACCGAGCTTTCCGTAAAAGGCGCCAGCCATTCGTTGCGAGTTTCCCGGCAGTCCCTTTTACCTATCCCACTTACACATCCCTTTTACCTATCCCTTTTACCTATTATCCCACGCGCCTGCGGAGACTTCGGAAAACTGAGAGCATTCGCGCGAAAGGAGGGACGATGTAATCGACCGCATTCGGGTTGCGAAATAGATAACCATTTGGCATGTCCTATTTGATATGTCTTAACATGACTCGGTCATAGACCACTGGACTATTCGCCGGGTCGGTGACGTCATCACAGCCGTCATGGTCGGTGATTGGAACAGATCAGCTCCATCATTTACACAATACATTTCGAAAACAACCATACACCTGTAAAGCCATCATCTTTAAACCCACCGCCTAGGCTTGGCTCATAAACAGTGTTAATAGTTATCCATTCATATGTTCCACGTACTGCCCTATTGTTATGTCTTCGACATTTGTTGTTATAATTAAGTGATCATAAACTTGGTCACGCACAGCAATACGATCACGTTCGAGGCTGAAACACCAAGACTGCGAGGTTTGCAAGACCACCGCACACCTCAATCAGCCGGCGTGACCTGCGTCACCTTTCCACAATGACACGGGTGTATGGATTTGGACGTCCGTGATTCGTTTTCATCTGCATCTCATTTGTGCCATTCGCGACCATTTCCCGGACGTAAGAGCTGATGGATGCGCCATGCGCGGGCGGGTGTGATTCAGCCAGCCTTCGATGTTGTGGCTGCTCAGCCAGCTGTCGATGTTGTGGCTGCTCAGCCAGCCGTCGATGTTGTGGCTGCCGGCCGACGCCATCAGACCACGAGATGATTACTTTAATCCGGCTTATGGCTGTGATGTTCGCAGCGGTGATTATCCCGGTTGGGATGGGTCCAGGTGGTACCATTATGGGCCCGAGTTCTATTTAGGCAGGATGTCAGCATTTTCCCCTGAGGGCGGGACCGTGTTGATTAATTTCAGCTACCAGTTTGGATGTCAGTTAGGGCTGACTTTTCAGCTGCGTGAGGAGCATTGTACACTTTTAGAACAATCTACTACAAGGACAGTCATTACGAAGAAAGACAATGTGTCCAAGTAAGTGCCGACATGACTTCGTGCGTGGCGAGCCGGACTGGCATGTCGTTTCGTGCATTGTTTCCCAGTTGTACAATAAAAACCTTATGAGACAGAGCAGATGAACCGTAACGCTGGAACTCTACTTTCTTTTTGTGGGTCGCAGTGCATTCGCCGTGCAGTGCATTAAACTCTTGTATATCTAGGGCGAGTTAACACGTCTGTGTGCCGTGTTGACCGCAGCGTAGTTCACCGAGCATTGGACGATCCCGTATCTAAATCATACTAACCCCAGACCTCTTCAAACATGTACGCAGAGTTGCTAAAGCAAAAAGGAAGAGGGGAACACGTTGAAACGAATCCGACATCAAATTTTAAATTCAAGCAGGGCCACGTTTTACGCTCACATCCAAGCTCTAACGGGTCTGCGGCGCACGTCTGTTAGATGTGACTCATGATTGAATGAAAGGCTTTCTTGCCTGGAATCGATTGTCCGTCTAGTTAGACTATTCCGTTGGCGCATGTCTTCGTTCTGTACCATCCGCACAAGCACAGTATTTCAAAGGCGTATAACCGCGATGTAAACAATCGCATTTGCGAACCGCTGTTACTGGTGTATGGATGCACCAGTCACTATGTAACTCTCTCCCTTTCGAACTTGTGACGACATCTCCACATCTGGTGCATGGAGAAGCCTTCAGCTTCCATCCTCCAGCGCGTTTCGAGAGTCGGGACCACCGCGAGAAGCCGTGATCGATAGCTCCCTGGTCCCTCATCTTGTCTGGATCGCGGTTTGTTTCTATGATGACTGTCGGTACATCAGCATCTCACCGTACGTGACATTCATGGCGTCTCTCAGGGCATCTCTCTCATGACGTGTCTCGTGGCGGCTCTCTCATGGCGACCACGACATCTCTCGTAGCGTCTCTCTCATGGCGTCCATGGTGTCCATGGTGTTTCCAGTGTCCACTGCTGGTTCGCTCGCGCCCAGCGCCGTCTCAGAAACCCAAACAAACGCCTCTAAATGGTGACCGGCCCACTCGGCGGCCGTGTTGTGACGCGTTAGCCCCTCGCACCAGACCCGAGTCATTCCTCGCCGCCGCGTTGCAACGCGGCAGCCCCTCCGCACCAGACTGGAGTCACTCCCCGCCACCGTGTCGTGACGCGGCAGCCCCTCCACACGGGACCCGAGTCACCCCTCGCCGCCGCGTTGTAACGCGGCAGCCCCTCCACATGGGATCCGAGTCACTCCTCGCCGCCGCGTTGTAACGCGGCAGCCCCTCGCACCAGACCCGGTTCACTCCTCATCGCCTCAGCTGCGCTGGCGTGCCGTGACTCAGCGCGTCTGGGTGCATCTCCGAGTCAGCGCGCGTGGTCTCGGGCCAGAAAATTGGGAGCATGCAGCACCCCCACTTTCCCGGCTGCCGTTCATCGACGAGGTCAGGAGGCCCGTCCGAATGGCGGCCTCCGTTGTCACCTGGTCCTCTTTTTGCAGCCGGTGCAGTGTCGTGCCGATTGGAAAGTCGGCTTGTGCCCACCGGCGGCGCTCGCTCACGTGCGGTCAAGTGTCCGGTGTCGTGCGTACTCGATCAGGAAAGCACACGTGACCTGGGGCGTCGCTTGACCCCGTTTCGGCGCGCACGATTGGTGCCGGTGGTTTTGCGAAGCGTTCGGCCCTCGCGCCGAGCACCGCTACCAGAAGCCGGCGCTCGCGTGCCACCCGCCGTCAAGCGGAATGATTGGAGACGGACCACCGCCCAAGCGATCCCTCCGTCCCGCGCATTCAGCTGAGGCACGCTAGAGCAGCTTATTGCTCTCACGGAGGCCGAACCGATCCGGGCGAGATGAGTCGGTGGGGTTACGTGGACCGAGGACGCCTCTGAGCGCGCGGCCGGCCGCCAGTATGCCCGTAGCTCGGGCGGGTCCCGCAGCGCCGGCGGGTCCCGCAGCTCCCGCTGCTCCCGGACGCCAGCGGGCCCGCAGCGCCGGCGGTCTCGGGCGCCAGCGTGCCCGCAGCTCGGGCGGGTCCCGCAGCGCCGGCGGGTCCCGCAGCTCCCGCTGCTACAGGACGCCAGCGGGCCCGCAGCGCCGGCGGTCTCTGGCGCCAGCGTGCCCGCAGCTCGGGCGGGTCCCGCAGCGCCGGTGGGTCCCGCAGCTCCCGCTGCTCCAGGATGCCAGTGGGCCCGCAGCGCCGGCGGGTCTCGGGCGCCAGCGTGCCCGCAGCTCGGGCGGGCCCCGGGCGGTGGACGGCATGCCAGGCCGGCGGCCGGGACTGCGTCCGCTCGCGAGATAAGTGAGACCGGCCGGCGCATACTGCACGGCTGGCTGGACGGGCGCCGGCCCCGTCCGGTCGGCAGATACGGCAGATCCGGCCACAGTTCCGGGCTGGCGAGCGCGCCGGGGAGAGATCAAACGGCAGCGACCTCCGACGGCCGCCGTCCTTGTCCCGATCTCCAGACCGGGCGGCGTCGACCAGGGGCTGTTGCAACCGACCTGAGCACGCTCGGAGTGGCGGGGCAACGGCATTCTGCTCTCGCGGCTCGCTCACGTGGAGTGCTCCAAAGACCGCTCTCACAGGGCGCCTCGACTTTCCAAACGACAGTCCGGGCGCGCCTGACCCACCAGTCCGCCGGGACAAGCCCGGGCCGGACGGCGGGCCGCGCCGCCGCCGGCACGACGTCCAGCCACCCGCTCGTGCTGTGTCCCGTTGTCGCACTTTCACAGACGGGCGCCGCTTCCGTTCGCAGTCGGGCCATCGTAAAATGACGCGACCGCGTGGCCGCAACCGCGACCCGACTAGGCGAAAACGAAAACCCCGCTCGGGTGCGATGGCGTCGAAGAACGTCTGATGGCGGCTGTTGATGGCACTCGCGAGGGGAAAGTGACTGGCAGCTGCCGTGATGATGCGCACGTTGAAGGCGACATACGCGCCATCCGTGGTGTAATTCCTCCGAGTGCAATAACCTTGGACCTTTCTAGCCACTAAAAACTCTCCATTGTGTCACGCTGGTACAATCATTTTCTTTTCAGCCGGTGGACCAATGCTAATAATACCGGCACGCGGCGGCGGGGTGGCCTGCTGCTGTGTCGTGTGGGGTTTTTAGCACGCTCTCGTGAGACACGAGAAGCCAGACTCGCACGCGCTGCACTACTGGATGCTGAGCAGCAGCCGCCGCGACGCCTGGTTACCATCCAGAGCTGAGCGGAGAGCTCGTTTGGCTCGTAGTTAGTTCTCATGTTTCCGCTTAACGTTGTCTGCGGTTTGAACACATTCATCACGATACGCGCGTCGTGCTGCGGCGCTCGCGTACAACGGCCCGAGCGTGCGGTCTCCGTCATCGGCTGGGATCAAAGAGCGCCCTGCGGCGGTACGCCGTGCCGTTCTGAGATGAACGGCTGCACGGGGCTCGGGGGCTGCGTGCTTTGCCAGCCGCAGCGGGAGCAGGTGTGCGGTGGATCCTCCGTGCTGTCTTCTACGCGAGAACTGCAACCGGACGGCCCTGTCAGCTGACGTCGTGGTGACCCGAGCAGTCTGTGCTGGGCGAGGCTCGTGGTTCGCTGGTGGCGGTTTGGGATTTTATCACCGTTCGGCCGCCTTTTAAAACACATGAAAAACGGTCGTAACTTTGACGTTAACCGAGGCAATCCAAGCTTACACTCCTTATCTTTCCTCATAAATGGTGAGGGCAACTCACTCCGAAACTCTCGAAAAGCCAGAAAGCTGCTATATAGCCGCCGCCAGTTAATCGGCCCTTCTCTAACGTGCCCAGTACTACCCAAACGCGTGCTCCGTCGCGGCCGCCGCTCTGTTTTCAATAACGCAGAGAAAGCGCTGGGCGAAAACTGAGATTGGGTCTGAGTGCGATGTCGCTGGCGCGACCGCTGCTGTTAGCTTACGCAATGTCCCGTGAAACCCCGCAGAGACATGCGTTAAAGACATCGAAAGCACGCGACGTGTCTCGAATGGTGTGCTTCCAACACCGTCTTGAACTACTTCCTCGGGAATCAGCAGTGGCTCGGAAGCGTAGTACAAGTGAGGAGAAAGTGTCGGCGAATCAGTAGGGAGCGAGCACGAGGCTGAACAGGTGCACAAACCTGACACTTTCAAACATTAGGCACACGGTGTTCCACGAAAAACAACGCCGGCAATTGGTACGATAACTGAAGAGTGCGCCTCATCAAAAACAGCTGGCTTCGATGTGGCGGTTGGTCGGCCGCGTCACCTCGTGGGCGTGTTCCCAGAGCACCTGTCGACGTCTCCTTAACTGAACCATTCCAGACCTACATAGGGCCGGTGCTCATCTCGGTGAACCCGTTCCAGCAGCTGCCCTACTACGGCGACAAGCACGTGGAGCAGTACCAGGGCGCCGTGAGTACCGACCGACGGTCCGCAGACTGGGTCCGTATCATGGTGTTACGCACGCTCCCCCCCCCCCCCATACTGGGTCCGTATCATGGTGTTACGCACGCCCCCCCCCCCATACTGTGTCCGTATCACGGTGTTACGCACGCCCCCCCCCCCATACTGGGTCCGTATCATGGTGTTACGCACGCCCCCCCCCCCCCATACTGGGTCCGTATCAGTGGTACGCACGCCCCCCGCCCCCCTCCCCCCGCCTCAGACCAGACAGACGAATCCCCCCTGGCCTGGCGGCCTGTCGCTCGCTCGACAGAGCTTGCAGCGGGTAGGAGCGAGCCGCCAGCGGCGGCGGCAGTGTCGCCGGCAGGGGCGGGTGCCGTCCGCAGAGTTGTCACCGGGCCCACCGGGTCCGCAGAGTTGTCACCGGGTCAGGGCGGAGGAGTATCAGGAGCTGACGGCTGGGGACGGCCGGCGCGTCCGGCCGGCGGCGGGGCGGCTCGTGTCTGACGCCCGGGTGACAGGTGACGAGTCGGGGTCAGAGGTGACGGACACGGAGGTGGAGCACACGCTCTCCGCGCGCCCGGAGCTGACGTCAAAGACCGTAATCGTCACTGAGTAATCTCCGTCAGTTATCGCAGTAATTCACGGCCGCCTGCTCGCTGGCCCACGTCCCAGCCGAAATTCATGTACTCGGCGATCCCCGTGTCCTGGCTTCTGGTGACCCACCCCCGTGTCTGCGTGTTCCCTGTGTGAACCCTGACCGGCAGTCTCGATAATAGCTGGCCTCAGATGCGCCACGCTTGCACGCCGCCACAGCGCAGTACACAGCGGCACCTGCCAGGCCACCGCCGCCAGCGTTAACCGGCCGGCTGATATTGATTACTAGATACGATGGCGGCGCCTGGCTGGCCCTGCCACCGCTGCTGTGTGTGGCTCGCCCGCGGCAGCCGTCATAACGCGGCCATGATGCAGCGGCACTGACGAATGTGCAGCAGCGTTTCCACCGTCGGCCCAGTAGTCGCCCCTCGGCTTTGCCGTTGGGGTTAAGTCCCTGTCACTTCGCCGTGTTTTCTTTAGCGCTGTGAATGTTATAAAGCACACATGAATGCGTCTCGGGTGATATTTCAGGGCTTGTACAGCGTTTGTGAAACATATTCGTGGCTCAGAAGGTGGTGCTGTGTTTTTCAGTGTGTGGCTGCCTGGCTAAAAAAGTAACGCCAGACAGTCGCCATTCGTACCGACAATGAACGGGACCGGTGGCGGCGCCTGGTGCCCCAGCGCGTCTCTGTGCTCTTCTGTACCCCTCGCTGCCCCTCCCCCCGTGACCTCGCGGTCCGCTGCTGACCTCCGTCAACGGCGCTGGTTCACAGGCGAGCCACGAGAACCCGCCCCACGTGTACGCGCTGGCCGATGAGATGTACCGCAACATGTTGATCGACGCTGAGAACCACTGCGTCATCATCAGGTGGGGCTGGCGGCACCGGCACCGCGCTGTGGCCCAGCGTCAGTCACTGGAACCGACGTCTGGACGCCCGAGCGTGGAAAGGGAGAGGCTCCGCGCTTACGACAGCACGGGAGAGTAGCAATGACCGTGACATTCTGTGATGGGCGCTACCTTTCGGGTTGCCGGGGAGGGTCATCGTCACTCGGCAAATTCTGTATCGATTTGGTATCGATCGGTCTTGTAATCGATTCTTGGGAGGCTCCTAAACGCGCAGGATTAAATTTGAATTTTGAATCGCACGATGTGGTCGTGCTAGGTTTTTGTACCCTTCGTTTTTGATCATAAAAATTCAGCACGAATGCACACTAGTGAACCGTGCTGTCATGTAGGTGACACGCATCACCCCTCCTACTGTTTGCACTTCGACAGACACCGCGCCACACAATGCGGCACGTACGATAATGACGTCAGCGTCTGAGTGACGAGCATGCGAGTTCGCCACTGGAGCGTTTTCCGAAGACCCACGTAGTGCCGTTGATGCGTCACTACCATTCCTTCCGTTTTTACGCGTGAAACGGGCAAGGCTGTAACGCCCTGCAAAAAGCCCTCGCGGTCTTCAGGGGGCAAACTCAACCGTCGTTCAAGCAAGCGTCGCGGAGATCTCGGCCGCCTGCAAAGAAGCCTTAGCGTTGATTTGGGTCACACTGATTCCTTGGGCTGTCAGCGACGCGCGAGTCGGCCTCTGGGAAGCCCTTCGTGATGGGATCTCGCGGCTTTCTCTGTCATCGCCTCTCCACGGGCAGGCGCCGTCGTCGTGCCAGTTTGTTTTTCCGTATTTGTTACTGCGCACGAATTCAGAGCGTTGGAAGACGGATGGCCGCCATACGAGGCCAAACAAATTGATTGGACAGCTTGAAATGTCAGGAAGTTGGTTACGTGTCACCGCACGGCCGTCATAAGGCTGAGAACGCCGAATTGGTCCGATTTAAGTGGGTATTTTACAATGAGAGCATTCTGTGTGAGTATCCCACAACAGTGTTCGACACTCCTTGGTATGCTTGATGATGAATGGCTGAGCTGACGCTTCTGGCCAACTTCCAGCGCGTTTCCCGCAGTCTGGGAGTTCCGCATCATTGGATGGTTCCTTTCGGCATGTCCGTTACACCGCGCGTCGTTCAGCCGTCCGCTGCCTCTGCGACACCGATGCCGTCTCGAGCTGGTCGTACTCACTGACACGTAGTCTGCATGTCCCCCGCCACCCACACACATACACGCACACACCAGCTTTCCCTGGCCAGACGAACTCCCGTCACAACTTAACGACGCAGGAGCCGTTGTTCTGACAACGAAAAAAACGAGGCGTTTTTGACGAGTCCCGTGTGCCAATCAAGTCTACCGGTCTCTTCTCCCCCGGCATCCCCCCCCCCCCCGCTGCTCTCATCCTGTCCCTAGCCACGGGGCCGGGGGCGGGGCGGGGTAGCGACACGTGCGCTGCCAGACAGCGGGGTTACGACACTCGCCGCGCCGGCAGCCGACGTCGCCGGAACCGGCGGCTCCCACCGCGGCCCTCCGACTGAGTCATCCCGGTGCGGGAGGCCGCCGCGGCGTCAGGTGCCTTTGACTCTGCCGTGAGTCAGCCGGCGGCCGCGAGAGGGCGCTGCGGCCCGATTCTGCCGGATGTCCGCCCCCCCCCCCCCCCTCCCCCTCCCGGCTCAGCTCCCCGGGCGGTCAACAATGCGCTGCCGTTCGCGGAAGTGTGACCGCTGGCCGCGCGTAACGAGGTGTCGCGTTTGCACTGTGAGTCACGTGCATCACCGGTGGAATTCAGTAAAGCTTCCACCCACGGCATCGAGCATGCCCGGCTCAGTCGCTTGAGCGGAGCACCGTGATACCAAAACGATCGTGGGCGATATCAAGTGTGAACCCCGTATGACCTTCCGTACTTGTTTGCGCCTTTCGGCGTCCTTCTGTGTCATTATGGAGCCGTCCGTGCGTGGCGCCGCTGTTAACATGCCTTGAGCGACCTGCACCGGTGTCCCGGCAGCGGCGAGTCCGGAGCGGGGAAGACGGTAGCCGCCAAGTTCATCATGCAGTACATCGCCCGCGTGTCCGGCGGCGGCCAGCGTGTCCAGCACATCAAGGACATCATCCTCAAGTCGAACCCGCTGCTGGAGGCCTTCGGAAACGCCAAAACAGTGCGGAACAACAACTCCAGCCGCTTCGTAAGTGCGGACCGGAGCCGCGACTCTGTCGTGAAAATGTTCTCGCTGTCCTCCTTCCCCGCTAAGCTCATCAACGGCTGTGGTCTTATTACGCGACGGCACCAACCATTTGTCATCGGACTTTATCACGTGCTGCTCCATCCAGGCCATCGTCATGGACCGGCGGTGCCGAGCCTGCCCTCCGCTCGGGCGACTGTCGACGGCGCCGCCCGCCCCGCGACGGTCCCACAGTGTGCTGGTTAGCGGCGAGAACAATGGGCCGGCCTGCTCTCGGCTCCCAGCCGGGCCGGAAGTGGGCGGAGGACCACCAGACCAGACCAGACCAGACCACACCCGGTGGTCCGCCGCCCACTCGGACGCGCCGCACCGTGATCGCCTGTAACTGCGGCGTTTACGGCGCACCCCGTGTTTAGCCAGCTGACGGGCCCGGCGGTGGCGGCCGCGGCAGCTGGGCGGTGGCGGCCTACGCTGAGAACGGGGCCGATCGGTCACACTCCGCGGCGACGGCTCTAGGTCGCACTGGAATACGTTCTGAGGTGTTCACCGCGCATCCGAGGGTCTTTTTATAGCTATTGATTGCGTGGTATAGCCGCCTGCCCCAGAGACATACAGTGGCGTAATTTCTTTCGATAGCGAGGGCGAAGGCCAGATGTGAAGTACGCGCCCAGGCTGTGGACGTCACGAGCGACGGGACGATACCAATGACGCACAAATGTCGCCGTGTGGATTGCGAAATGTGCATGGCGCCCTTGGCCTTTGTCTCCCGTTAACGTGTGCTTCATTGCGGTTATCTTGTCCATCTATGCGTCATTTCTTCTACTGACCGCGTTTTCGGAGAAACCTAGTTTTAAAAAGCCTTCTTCATGTCAAAGAACCAGTTGAGGGGAGTTCTTGGAGGTTTAGACTCGTTCAAATGATTCAGCACTCAGTGAGTGAGGTGTGATTCAGAACTGATTCCGTCCCTATTCCTCCTTCCTTTCTCGGATCTCGGGGCGTGATGCAGCCCGTAAAGCTAGCTGGTAACGCTACCTATCCACATGCCGTGCACAAGTGGCCAATGGTATCATTGACACTCCCCTCCCAACACGTGACCTTGCGCGGTTTACGCGGCGTCTGTGGTGGGAGTGGACGATCGCCGGGCGGAGCGGTGTCTCCAGAGGCACGCCGTGGCCTCAGATGGGCGTCCTGCCCGGCTGGAGGGGGCGCCGCGCGGAGCTGGCCGGTTACCGCCGCCCGAGACGGTCTGCTGGCCCTGAGAGTGCTCCCCCCCCCCCCCCCCCCCCCCCGCCCACCGGACCTCGTCGATGTTAGGCTGCGTGTACGGTACAAGATGGATCCTTTCACGCCGTCGAATGGATGTAAGGATGGGTGGGCGCGTGTGGCCAGGCGGATGAATGGATGCTTACGCTTGGACGAATTCAATAGGTCGGGATGGCTTGAGGGGAATTCTCCGCATTCCTGTGTCAGGCTTCCCACGCACCAATTTGTGGTTGAGATGTTAACGTCGTTCGTCATGAAGTAAGTTAACTAATGCATTCTTCCGTTTGGTTTCGACGACCGTCTGATGTTTTTCCCACGTTCGTCCGACTTTGTTTTGAACAAAGATGAAACGGATGTGATCCACCAAATCTTTTATACTATTCTATGTAGAAATTTGCGGTCAGTACGGTGTACTCTCCTCATTCGTTTAATATGCATACTAAATGGCGTAATGATAGACATATGTGCATGGACATATATGTCTTTCAGCTGGAGCATTCGTGTACAACAATTTCATTTTCTGCAATCGTTTTGCGAATTGTTGACTGTGACGTCCCATAAGAGACGAACACCACTAAGTGGTACTTCATTGTGGCAGCTGTTAGCCAGTGGCGTTACAGCCGAAATCAAATCGTAAAATGGCAATATTTTCTATTTGAGACTAGAGGGTGGAAACAACTTTTTTGTTGTGGCTCAGTTTTGTACTGGTTCCAGGGAGAATGAGATACAAAACGGTTATGTAGTTTAAGTCTTTTGCAGGACTCAATTTCGCACATTCTACGATATAACTTCCCCCCTTCATTTTCCTTTCTCGAATTTGAACTACTCGAAGGGTCCCCTCGAGAAAATCTCGCAAGAAGCAAAGCGAAATATGACGAGGAAATGAATGTTTCGCGTGGTGAGTTTGTCTGAATGAAGCTTCCCCAGCACCAGCCGCAACTTACAACCTTGACACGTGGTGCCGCATCATGCCCTTTTACGGCACGACAGAAATCCTTCTGGAATTATGTCTTTATCGCGCTGCAAAGGGCGATGACAAAATTACTTCGTGAGCTGAAACATCACTGCTTAATGATCGTTTCGGTGTGCCCAAATACAACCTTACCCAGCATTACAGCCCGGATGCCGGCCGCTCACAAAAACATGCCCTGTTTAGGGTGCGACGCAAAACGACATAGATGCCAACGCGCCCTTAAACATTCAAACCACCAAACCACTACTGAGATGTATATAGGCGCGAATGTATGTATGCGCGCCTGCTTGTGAGGCGATGAAAACCATTTGGAATGTGTTGTCCATACAAGAACATCCCTCTGAACAGCGCCAAGACGAGCAGGCTGGATGATAGGCGTGCGGCTCACGAAGCCGGCGGGTCCAGCCGCGTCTGGTGAGACACGTTGCGCGGCTCCGCCTCGGCCGCCGGCTCCGGGCGGCTCCCACGGGAGCCTGCGCACCGCGCGGGAGCCCCATCCCGGCCGCTCTCACGCCGGCTCCGGCTCCTTGCAGGGCAAGTACGTGGAGATCCAATTTAGCAGCGGCGGCCAGCCCATCGGCGGCAAAATCTCCAACTTTCTGCTGGAGAAGTCGCGTGTGGTGCACCAGAACGAGGGCGAGAGAAACTTCCACATCTTCTACCAGCTGCTGGCTGGCGGCACCAACGACATGAAGCGTACGTGCTCCGTGTGTGCCGGGAGCTGCGCCGCTTGGGTCGCACGCTGCTCGCTCAGCTGTTTTATCCGGATCTGATCCGTTACTATCTGCACGGGATCGCGCCGCAGTACGCGTACATCCAAGCCGGTTTGAGATGCGTGGATCTTAGGATTCTGTGGCATTCACTTTTACCGGACAGATCTTGAAGCCAGCGCGGCAGTGAGTTCTTGGTTCGTCGCTGGTACACGTGAACTGACCAAGTAGGCTTGTGCGAGAATATCGTTATTTCGGTGGAACGATTGCTGTAAGCCTGCAGGCGGACTTTTATAGAAAATCCTACGGCGTCACATCAGCGGTGTTCTCAGTCGTAATTGTGAAACTAGTCCTGCAGGATGGAAGCTTACCGTTAGGGCAGTGGTACACCCGTCATCCGATTATTTTTTAAAGCCTTTCACAACCTAAGACATACTTCTAATCGTAATTAAATCAGTTCCTGAAACAGCGATGACGACATCTAATTACCGACCTGCAATGTATTGCGCTTGGTACGTCAAGCTAAGGGAAAACCCGTTAAAGTAGCGGATACTATGCAGGTTTGCACGGGGAATTACTTAACGTTCTGTTGCGGGATTACCATCACCGTTGGTATCAAGGGGCACATAAACCCTTCTGTTCCTACGATGCGATGTAGCTCCCCACTTCGGAGGAGACATTCTGGGCGGCTGACCGTCCCGCGTCTTCACAGAGGACTTGGGCCTGACGACCCCGGACTACTTCGCCTTCCTCAACCAGTCCAGCATGTACAAGGTGGACGGCACGAATGACGCCCACGAGTTCCAGGAGACGCTCAGAGGTGCGGCCCGGACCATCGCGGCGGGGTACTGACGTCCCGCGCGGAGCTCCCCCCCCCCCCCCCCCCCTGCAGCGACACACTCAACCAGGCTGTGGTGACCGCCGCATTGCTGAAAGGCTGAGTCATGTTGTAGTGAAGGCCCCGTTTGAGTCACATGAACATGTGATACCGCGTGCGTTGCGGAAGGTCAGGGCTCAGAATGACCGGACCTGTTGAAGGTATGAGAGCGTCCTGGAAGGCGTGTCCTCAGAACCGCACACTATTGCATTGGTATGGGTGCTTGCGGTCGTGTACTGGGAGGGGGAGGGTGGAGGCTGCAGCACACAGGGCTAGAATGTCAGATTGGGATCGGTAGTTCGTCGGTTCCAGATGCATTAAATGCCGTCCGGTGCACTGGCCACCAAAGAGCGTCAGTGGGCGTCAAAGATCGCGACGCTGATGGTCGTAACAAAGTTACATGTACCTGACAGCAATCATAGGTGCATCGCATTTATAACCTGGGAGGTGTCCTGCCCTGGAGGCAGTCCGCTGCAACATCATCATGAAATGACCATTGTAGCATTCACACCAGCCCTGAGTTGTTAGCTCCACTCCCCGACGCCAGCGCCCTGGCGCGGCGCGCCCGGGTGCCGTGAGCTGACCCGCCGCGCTACCGCAGCCATGTCGGTGATGGGCCTGTCGGAGGAGCAGCAGATGGAGGTGCTGCAGGCCGTCGCCGCCATCCTCCACATGGGCAACGTGCCGTTCGCCGAGCACGGCAACGACGCGCGCGTGGAGGGGCGCGAGTACCTGTCGTACCCGGCCTACCTGCTGGGCGTGGCCGAGGAGGCTCTCGAGAAGAAGCTGCTCAGCCGCGTGTTCGATAGCCGCTGGGGCGGCCAGGCGGACCGCATTGATGTCACGCTGAACGTGGAGCAGGCGTGTTACACGCGTGACGCCTGGAGCAAGGCGCTCTACTCCCGGCTCTTCGACTTCCTGGTGAAGGTAGGGCGGCGGTGGCGGCGGCGGCGGCGGCGGCGGCGGCGGCGGCGGCGGCGGCGGCGGCGGCGGCCCGTGTGGAGGGGAGGGGCGGTGCTACACGCCTGCTGCGGACGGGGAGGGGGGGGGGGGGAAGGGCGGGTTTGCTCAGAAGTGATAGAAGGAGGAACGGAAACTCTCCACTCTGAGGAATGAGAAGTCGTGTTGTGAGTTGTTGTATGGCGTCCGGACTTGAATGCTTGCGCAGTGAAAGATTTCAGCTGCATTTACTCTGGTTATTGGAGCTAATTTTGTCTGTCTGATGGTTTCAGACCGTGAATGATGCGATGCATACTCAGACAGAAGGGCTGAACGTTGGCATCTTGGACATCTACGGCTTTGAGATATTTCAACGGAATGGGTTCGAGCAGTTCTGCATCAACTTCGTGAACGAGAAGCTGCAGCAAATCTTCATCGAGCTCACTCTGAAGGCCGAGCAGGTTTGTTTTCCTTCAAGTCCTCAAGATTTGCGTGTTTAAGTCGTCTAACTTTGTTTCTATGAAAGCGGGCTTAAACTCATCATTGTTCCTACATGTGGCTACAATCGGCGCTGCTAGTTCCATGAATAGATCAGCGGAGATATCTAATTAGTGGGTCCAGGGCCATCCAGTCGGCCGCCGAGGCTTATCACGTCGCTGGAGCTCCCGCTGCAGCTGATGCTGTTGACCATGCCGCCGGCAGGAGGAGTACGTCCGCGAGGGCATCAAGTGGAGGCCGATCGACTACTTCAACAACAAGATCGTGTGCGACCTGATCGAGGCCAAGCGGCCGCCCGGCATCATGCTGGTGGTGGACGACATCTGCGCCAAGATGCACGCCGTCACGGAGGGGGCCGACCGTGACCTGCAGACGGTAATGCCCGCCCCCAGCCCCCCCCCCCTCCCTCCGGTCACGCAAGGGCCGGACCGTGACGATGATGCTCGCTACTAGTCGTTAGTTATGGAGGCAGCCGACCGCAACCTGCTGTCGACACCGACTACAGCTGCCATAGATAGGGAAAGTGACTCCCCAGCCACTATCGCTGTGAGTCAGGGGATGAAAAACGTGACTCGTGTGAAAACGCGAGATATGCTCCACAAATAATTCCTCTATTTCGTCCCCCCGCCTGTGGTGCCCGTTTCATGCCCGCCACGCCCACAGACGCCTGCTACGCTGTTTCCAATACGTTAACTGGCATCATGGGCCATTACCAGTAGTTGTGTTAGATGCAGCTGTCTCCCGCATTTCAGTCAGGCATTTCCTTTCGTTAGCATCATAACAAAAAGAAGAGGGCTTTCCAAGGGTGGTGACAGCTCCACAACGGTCAGCTTCTGCGATGAGTCCCATAGTCATCACAATGATAATGTAAACGACAGCTGCACACGTCCAGTAGCGCAGGCTGGAGACCCACGCCTGTGAGTGGATGTGTGCTGTTGTAATTGGCCGGCCTTAAGGACCGCCCCCGCGCCACAGCACCTCGACTCTGTGATGAGCAGCCACCAGCACTATGAGAGGAACAAGGAGGGCTTCATCATCCACCACTACGCCGGCAAGGTCAGCTACGATGTGGACGGCTTCTGCGAGCGCAACAGGGACGTCCTTTTCAACGACATCGTGGAGGTGATGCAGTCCAGCACGAGGTACGTCGAGGTCAGATGCTGCGAAGCCCGAACGGATCGTTTGGCAGGCCCCATCTGCCTCCGCGCATCGGTTATCCTCGCTCTTCGGGAACCGCTTATCATCTGTCAAGGGCTGGTACTCCCCGCGGCGTCGGCACGCCCGGAAGGCACCGACCGCGGCGTGCACTGCAGACGGTCTGGGAAGCAAGGTTCACATAAGGACAGTAGTAGGACAGGGATGGGAGGGAGGAGGCCCGCGTCCCGGGACCCAACCACAGTGTCGCGCGACGCTGTCGGAGGCGAGGGGCTTGGAGAAGCAGCCGCTTCATGTCGCACCGCTGAGCGAGATGTACTGTATTGTATACCATCCTGTTTGCGCTGCGTGCGGCATGTGTTAGCAGCACCAAGCTATCGAATCGTGTCAGATTTCACTCGTCTTTTGTGATAGTTATTCACCTGATTAATACGATTGCTATGATTCGCATACCGGGCCTGTGTAGTTCGGCAAACCTTTCGAGTGGCACTGAAACGATCTTACACTCGGCGATCACTCCTGGAGACATCGCTACTGAAGTATGTACGCGCGCTGTGTGCGCTGCCAGCTCTTAGACATGCGCCGCTGCTGGCAGTGAGTTCCTGCGGAGCTTGTTCCCGGAGAACCTTTCCAAGAGCAGCAAGTCGCGGCCGACCACGGCCGGCTCCAAGATCCGCGGCCAGGCCAACATCCTGATGGACACGCTGATGAAGAGCACGCCGCACTATATCCGGTATGACTGGCGGCTGTGCTCACGGGCCGATGAAAGCAGTGACTGCAGAAGGTCCTGTTTGGACTTTGGTCGGGTAGCGGCCACTGGAAGGCACTGTTTGTTGTTTTAGCGGGGGATGGTTAGTATTGGTCGACACTAGCGAATTGGCGAGATTATTGTGCATTGATTAGCTGTCTTCAGGGCACTAGGAACTTTCTCTGCATCGAACAGACAATAGTGTTCGGTGCTATTTCCGAGACTTTCGAAGTTTGCGCGGAAAATCAAAACATCCAACCTCTCCACATGAGCACCACGCGGCCGTGCCTGACGACCGCCTTGTGGGTCTCTGGCAGCTGTATCAAGCCGAACGAGACGAAGCGCGCCGGCGACTGGGAGGAGAGCCGCGTCAAACACCAGGTGGAGTACCTCGGACTCAAGGAGAACATCCGCGTTCGGCGCGCCGGCTTCGCCTACCGCCGGCCCTTCGACAAGTTCCTCAAACGGTGAGCTTCGACAGAGAGAGGAACCTCGACAAGTCCCTCAAACGGCGAGCGGGTCGTCGACGCCAGGCGCCTGCTGTCGACGCCAAGTCCCCGTATTTGTTTTCGTTTGGGGGTGGGCGGGAAGGTGCTGTGGGTTTGTTTTGGCTAGCCACTGAAATGGACTGTGTTTGAGGTCAAGCTTCAACAATAACCCACAAAGCACAAAGCGAAGGGTTGAAGCCCACAGTCATACCCAAACGGATCGTGGGAAGACCGACGCGGTGTGCACAGCGCTTGAAGGGCGGCCGGCCGTACCGGCGTGAGAAGTGCCTCGGAGACCGACTCGGAGCGCGGCGTCGCCGCTGCCCGGCTGACCTGGTGCCGTCACTCCGCTGACCCCGCGCTGCCGGCAGGTACGCCATCCTGACTAAGGAGACGTGGCCGGCGTGGCGCGGCGACCCGCGCGACGGCATCCACCGCATCATGACCGCCGTCCGCATGGACGACGACCAGTTCCAGCTGGGCAAGACCAAGGTGTTCATCAAGGCGCCGGAGTCGGTGAGAGCGGCGGCCGTGCCTCCTGGCGAGGGTGACAGCTGGTTGGTTTGACGTCTGACAGCTACTGTAGTGGATGCGGATGAGCATGTACATGCTGGGCAGTCTTCTCTGGACGTCATCTCAGGGCAGTTTTCTCTGGACGTCATCTCGGGGCAGTTTTCTCTGGACGCCATCTCGTTCAATGGCCGAAATTTTCTGCCCCTGAGTCTGGCGAAATGGTTAAAACTGGAGCGGTTTTGGATAGCGTGGCTCGTTTTTCCGCGTGAACCTCCCACAGTAGGCGTGACCGCCTGCTCGCCTGTGCTGTCAGCTGTTCCAGCTGGAGGACATCCGGGAGCGGAGGTTCGACGGCTTCGCCCGGGTCATCCAGAAGGCGTTCCGCCGCTACTTCGCCGAGAAACAGCGCCAGAAGCAGCGCAAGGAGGCGAGCGACCTGTTCTACGGCAAGAAGGAGCGCCGCGAGCACTCGATCAACCGGTACGCCTAACAGCCGCGGGTGCTGGGACGTGCCGTAGTTGACGCATGCTAGTTTGTTATAATTTGTGACTGCCGACACAGATGGTTTGCATATGCAAAAGCTGCGCTTGCTGTCACTGGTGTTGTGCGGTTAAAGTGGCCTTATTTACTCGGCTGGGCGGTGCGTTTACAGCAGCTGTTTCGGTGTGCTTTCTTGTGACTGGCATGGGCGCCGGAAAATGTTAAAATTCCTATAGGATGGGAAGGCTCTAGCCTCTCCCGGGTTATCCATGTTAGCCTTGATTGTATTTTATTTGTGTTGGGTATGGTGCACAAGAGCAATGACTGCACAATAACACGCATTTCCTGCTATCACCTCATACCTGAGGTGTCCTGTTTCAAGATAAGACAGTTATTCATCCAGCGCATGAAATTGCCGTGCTAGTCAGCGTTTCTGAGGCAGTAGACCCGCGAGCCGCTCGTCGCGTCGGCTGGATCCCCCTCTCCCTGTGACCGGTGACCGGTGACCGCGCCGCCTCAGGCACTTCGTCGGAGACTACATCGGCATGGACGACCAGCCCGGCCTGCGAGCGCTGGTCGGCAAGCGGGAGAGGATCGAGTTCGCCGAGACGGTCGTCAAGTATGACCGGCGTTTCAAGGTCAGTACCGTGCCGCCGCTGTCGACGGTCGGGGCGAGTCTCGGACTGGGCTGCCCGCCGGCCGACGACCGCGCGTTAGCGGAGATGACCGCGGAGTTAGCAGAGACGACCACGTGGTTCGCGAGACGACCGGGGGGTTGGCAGAGACGACCGCGGGGATAGAGGAGTGCACTCAGGTGGCGAAAAGAGGTTTAAATGGATTTGCCCATGTAAAGCTGTGGTACTTGCATCTTCATCGAATTTGTATCGTGGCGTACACTTTGCTGGAGCCTGCGTTCCGCGCATTGTGTCAGCGTCAGCGCTGCGGGCTTTGATGCCCCATCTCTCTCTCTCTCTCTCTCTCTCTCTCTCTCTCTCTCTCTCTCTCTCTCTCTCTCTCTCTCTCTCTTCTCTCTCTCTCTCTCTCTCTCTCTCTCTCTCTCTCTCTCTCTCTCTCTCTTCTCTCTCTCTCTTCCTCTCTCTCTCTCTCTTCTCTGTCTCTGTCTGTCTATGTCTCTGTCTCTGTCTCTGTCTCTGTTCTCTCTGTCTCTGTCTGTCTCTGTCTCTGTCTCTGTCTCTGTCTCTGTCTCTGTCTCTGTCTCGTCTCTGTCTCTGTCTCTGTCTCTGTCTCTGTCTCTGTCTCGTCTCTGTCTCGTCTCTGTCTCTGTCTCTGTCTCCTCTGTCTCTGTCTCTGTCTCTGTCTCTGTATCTGTCTCTGTCTCTGTCTCTGTCTCTGTCTCTGTCTCTGTCTCTGTCTCTGTCTCTGTCTCTGTCTCTGTCTCTGTCTCTGTCTCTGTCTCTGTCTCTGTCTCTGTCTCTGTCTCTGTCTCTGTCTCTGTCTCTGTCTCTGTCTCTGTCTCTGTCTCTGTCTCTGTCTCTGTCTCTGTCTCTGTCTCTGTCTCTGTCTCTGTCTCTGTCTCTGTCTCTGTCTCTGTCTCTGTCTCTGTCTCTGTCTCTGTCTCTGTCTCTGTCTCTGTCTCTGTCTCTGTCTCTGTCTCTGTCTCTGTCTCTGTCTCTGTCTCTGTCTCTGTCTCTGTCTCTGTCTCTGTCTCTGTCTCTGTCTCTGTCTCTGTCTCTGTCTCTGTCTCTGTCTCTGTCTCTGTCTCTGTCTCTGTCTCTGTCTCTGTCTCTGTCTCTGTCTCTGTCTCTGTCTCTGTCTCTGTCTCTGTCTCTGTCTCTGTCTCTGTCTCTGTCTCTGTCTCTGTCTCTGTCTCTGTCTCTGTCTCTGTCTCTGTCTCTGTCTCTGTCTCTGTCTCTGTCTCTGTCTCTGTCTCTGTCTCTGTCTCTGTCTCTGTCTCTGTCCTCTGTCTCTTCTCTGTCCCTGTCCCTGTCCCTGTCCCTGTCCCTGTCCCTGTCCCTGTCCCTGTCCCTGTCCCTGTCCCTGTCCTTCCCTGTCTCTGTCCTCTGTCTCTGTCTCTGTCTCTGTCTCTGTCTCTGTCTCTGTCTCTGTCTCTGTCTCTGTCTCCTTGACTCGCTACTGAATCCAGTGCCTAACGGGCCTTAATTCCGGTCAGATGCCGACCATACCGTTAACGGGCGTACGTGCACTGTCTTCTCAGGCGAGCAAGCGGGACCTGATCCTGACGCCCAAGTACGTGTACCTGGTGGGCCGGGAGAAGGTGAAGAAAGGGCCGCAGAAAGGTCGGCTGGTGGAGGTGGTGAAGAGGAAGATCGACCTGCCGTCGATAAGCCACATCTCACTCAGTCCATACCAGGTATGTGTGCTGTAGTGACCAGTCGGCGGGGGGAGGGGAGTTTGGCTCACCGTCGGTCCACACCCCAGCAGATGGCGTGAGGGAGGAGAGCTGTTGGACGCGCTGGGGATGGTAGATGCCGTGACGAACGAGCTGAGAGCTGTAGTACAGTTACGCGATGATCGAATTGCGAGATACGGTTTCTGAGCGTTGACGATTCTACCAAAGAGTCCTTTTAGCTCCCTTAACATTGGGAACGGCTCTGAAACTCACGGCTGTGGGTGACCCGTGTTATGTAATCCTTGAGGCTTTACGACGCACTCAGCGCTGAGGCGATGTGGCGTCGGCTGCTTCTTATCCTGGTCGGAAAGACGGGCACTGCGGGGAATCGAGCTCCGCACCTCTGGTTTCCCAGATGTGTAGCTCAACCACTTCACTATGGGAGCACCAGACCCCAGACCCTTTGATGGATTATTGTGTTACGGAGAGGTTGATGGATGTTGATGTCATGTCGTGGATGAATGTGACTTCTTTTCTTGTCCCGCGCAGGACGACCTTCTGGTGATACACGTGCGGAACCAGTACGATAGCCTTCTGATGCTCAACTTCAAGACCGAGTTCCTGACGGTGCTCAAGAAGAAGTGCGATGAAAGCATTGGCTCGAACATCATCATCAACTTTGCAACACAGTACGATTTCCTTACCGGCTCATGCATATTGCATGGCCTCTATTCTTATTTGAAAAATCGCTGTTTTTTAGCAGTGACCGGTGACACCTAGAGAGAATTGCCAGCTCAAATATCTCAACAATGATACCACGTGCCCAAAGCGAGTTCACAGAACAGGTCAGTGCTTGTCAAATCGTCACCGATTATTCCAAAATGCAGCTGATCTTTCTCATCACGTGAGCAATGAGCGCAACAACTGTTTCCGCTCCTCGGCGTGTGGTGTGACCCAGCGCTCCCCCGGCGCCGCTGGGACGTCCTGACCGTCGGCCGCCCGCCCCCTCCCCTCTCCCCCCTCGACGCCTGGTGTAGCTCAAGGTTCCCGGCGGGCCCGGTCGTGTGATGACCGGGGCCACGCGCCGCAGGGTGGAGTTCAAAGTGAAGAAGGAGGGCTGGGGCGGCGGTGGCGTGCGTCACGTGCACTTTGAGCGAGGTCAGGGCAACCTGGCCGTCATGAAGGTCAACGCCAAGCAGCTGACCGTCTCCATCGGCGCTGGACTGGACAAAAACTCAAGTGAGCCTGGACGCAGTGCGGCTTGTTGTGTCTGGTGGCAGGGCGGCAGTTGGCTTCAAGATAAAAGTCGTCGGATTTGAACTTGATTTGAATTGGTCGGATTTGAACTCGCCGTGGCCCTTGCGATTTGTCGGCTCATGATGTGGACGCGCAGACGGGTACAGCTTGAATATGATCGCACCTTGCCGGGTCACGCACCGTTGCTTCTCCATGCTTTTCCCTATTGACGCTAATCGTGGAGCAAAGGTTATTTCCGCATCCGTTCTTTGTATTCGTACAAGTGCATAGCGTCATGGTAGATGTAATCTGTCACAACAAGTAGTATGCCTCAATCTCAGCGTCGTAACAGCCGCCCCTTGCCCCGTGTGCTGCCACCACCGGGTCCGACACACTCTAACGTCCGCCGTCCGCCGCGCAGGGCCCTCGGAGACGCGGTCGACAGGGCGGCGAGACCCGCGCAGCCGTCTGCCGCAGCGACCGGCGCCGGGCGCGGGGCGCGGCCTGACACACCGCCCGTCAGTGCGGCAGGCGGCGCCGCCGCCGCCCAGCGGGCCGGCGCCGCCCGGCCAGCCGCGCGTCACGGCCGCCACCACCTACTCGATTCCGACGGGGCCGGCGCGCGCCGTCAGCCCGGCGCGCGAGCGGCAGCGGCGCGGCCCGCGGCGGCCGCGGCCCACCTCCGGCCGGCCGCCGGCGCAGGGCCAGCCGGCGCGCGGCCGCCCGCCGGCGGCCGCCGACCTCACCTTCATGCGTCCGCCGGACGCCGGTGTGGCCGGGTGAGCACCGGCGCTGCCGTCTCCTGACCTGGTGCCGTGTTCTACAGTGTGAAACTGTCCGTCCCCTGACCTCGTGTCGCGTTCTGCACTGTGAAGCTATTCGTCCTGTGGGGTTGTTCCGTGTTTTACAGCGTGAAGCTGTCGTTACCCGAACCTTGTTCCGTGTTCTGCAGTGTGAAGCTGTCCTTCCTCTAATCTTGTTCCGTGTTCGACAGTGTGAAGCTGTCCTTCCTCTGATCTTGTTACATGTTATACTGCGTGAAACTGCTCTTTCCATGGCCGTGTGCCGTGTTCTACAGTATGAAGCCGTCCTTGCGCTGACCGTGCGCCGTGTTCCGCAGTGTGAAGCCGTCCTTGCGCTGACCGTGTGCCGTGTTCCGCAGTATGAAGCCCGTCCCTTGCGCTGACCGTGCGCCCCGTGTTCCGCAGTGTGAAGCCGTTCCTTGCTGCTGACCGTGTGCCGTGTTTCCGCAGTGTGAAGCCGTCCTTGCGCTGACCGTGTGCCGTGTTCCGCAGTGTGAAGCCGTCCTTGCGCTGACCGTGTGCCGTGTTCCGCAGTATGAAGCCGTCCTTGCGCTGACCGTGTGCCGTGTTCCGCAGTATGAAGCCGTCCTTGCGCTGACCGTGTGCCGTGTTCTACAGTATGAAGCCGTCCTTGCGCTGACCGTGCGCCGTGTTCCGCAGTGTGAAGCCGTCCTTGCGCTGACCGTGTGCCGTGTTCTACAGTATGAAGCCGTCCTTGCGCTGACCGTGCGCCGTGTTCCGCAGTGTGAAGCCGTCCTTGCGCTGACCGTGCGCCGTGTTCCGCAGTGTGAAGCGGGCCAGTGTGGGCCAGCCGGACAAGCCGGTGCCGGGCGGCGGGCGGCCGAAGCCGGCGCCCCGCCAGCCGGCGCTGCCCAAGTGTCGAGCGCTGTACAGGTGCGTCCCCCGACTGGACGACCTCTGTGCTCTGCTCACGTGCTAGCCGTCAGGGCAGGGTATCGTAGCTATTTTATTACTCATTGCGGCCTGGTATGATTAATACCCACCAGTGCTGCATTCGGCGGTGCCCTGTATTTAGTTGTACCAACCACGGCACTAGCGCACTTGACCGTAATACGTAACGAATCCATCACGTTTCCCTCGCGCTTTCGTTCAATGTCAGGGCAAAACGCGCATTGAATGAGAGTGTAACGATTCCAGAATAGGTTCCGTGAGGTAAAAATCAGGCGACCCAGTGTTAGTTGGAGGACGCATGAAACCCAATCTTTGATTTACAAACACGTCCGAATCCGTTTTGAGCAAATATGCAACCGCAACTACCACACCATCGCCGTGATTCGTCCGCGACCACAGCATGCTCACACGCCCGTTGGCTAGGCTACGCGGGAGGCCTTGACGGACATGGACGTTTGCGTTGCAGATACGAGGCTCAGGACGTCGATGAACTCAGCTTTGAGGAGGGCGAGATCATTGAGCTTGTGCAGGAAGGTGAGCGAGGCATCTGTAACGTCCGCGTGTATTGAGGCAGACACGTGTTTACTTACGAGGGCCTGGGCTCCTGTCGCCCAATGACCACACGCAGCTGCCCCACACGGTCAGCAGCGTATATTCCCTTCCGAAGCTGTTGGATCACGTTTTGTTGAGTCCGCGAGGCGATGCCGGACAGCTCAGCCGCTCGTCCTGAAAACCGGGGGTCTGGGGTTCGATTCCGCGCGGTGCCGCCCTCCCGCCAGGCTGAGAAGCAGGCGACGTCATACGGCCTCAGCAGCCGAGTGTGTCGTGAAACCCCGATGACGACGTCACTGGCCAGCTGACAGGCCTCGCCGCTTCCCGCAGACGCGTCCGGCTGGTGGCACGGGAAGTTCAAGGGCAAGAAGGCCCTCTTCCCGGGCAACTACGTCGAGAAGATATGAGCGCGACCGCTCTCAGCGCCCGTGACTGAGCGTCACCGCTGGGTCAGACGCTGCAGCCGGCGCCGCGGCCTGGCCAGGAGCCGAGGTGGAAGGCCGAGAGCTTGCTCTTTAGCGGCGGGGTCACCCGCCGGCCGAGCTGGCACGAGCTGGCACGGCCAGAGCCCGCGGCGCGTCCGTGACCTCCCAGCACCGCACTCCTGTCTACACTCGTCTGTGATATAGCAGTGTTCGGGACAGTGCCCGGACCTCCCTCTCCCCCCCCCCCCCCCCTCCCCTCCAGACGCGGAGGCCGGGCCGAACCCGCGGTCTGCGGCGGGGGGCGTTTGTTACGTGCGGCGCCGATAATGTCAAATCTGTTCCGACTGCGCGATAGCGCGGCGCCTGATTGTCCGGGTCGCCGGCGGTGTCTGCCTCCGCCCGCCCCGCGCGCCGCCTGCATTGTACGAGTACGTTACGTGTATCCCAGTATGCGAGAACCGACCGTAGCCTTCAAAACTGCCGTAATCTTGTAACGCATGGAGTGGTGTGCTGCTTGCCTGACCGTCTGCGACAGTTGACGACGGAAGTGCGGGTAATCGTCCCAGTAGTGCCGTCAGTCGAGGAGTTCGTGCCGCTCGCGCTAGTCCATCGAGATGACCCCGCGGTGCTCGGTGCCCTAATCCTCGCATGCACCGACGCGGTAATGTGTTCGTTCGTCGTAGTGTCCACGCACGTATAAAGTCGCTACGTATGAAATGGAGACGTGTATTGATTTCGGCAGGGAACGTGCAGCTGGCGGCGCGGCGCCGTTTGTACGATACGAATGTGGTGGGAGACACGGAACACGGCAAGACGGTAACCTGTCCCCAGCTATCCAGTGGTCCTGGGCACGAACAGATGTGATGTTTCTCCCTTCTCCCCCCCCCCCCCCCCCCCACTCTCCCCGCCCCGCCCCAAGAAAATCCCTTCCATGTCCGTCCGAACAACTGCAAAACACAGGCCACAACCGAGAACACTTCGCTTGGCTGCAAGCACCCCCCCCCCCCCCTGGAACGCGCTCTACACGAGGGGCCGCCGCTGTGCTCCGTCGCTGTGTTCCGCCCGTGCTCCGCCGCGGCGGACAGCGTCCGCAGTGTCCAAGCTGCCCATACATCTGCGCCGGGCGCCCCCAGGCCGTCGGCCGCGGGCGTCAGTCCCGTCCCGACCTGAGCAGGGACGCTGAGCGGTCGAGGACCGGCGCCGCTCGGGGTCGTCGGATGGCCAGACACACCGCCGGCGGCCGGTGGGCCGCTCGTCTGAGACAACGCCCAGCAAAGGAGGACCAAAAGATGGCTGTGATTCGGAGAGGCTCCTCTGCCCCCCCCCCCCTTCCACCCCGCTGCCTTTTGGACGAACACGGCGTCGGTCCGGAATCCACATCCACAAGGCGCATCCACGCTTCATGAAACCTCTCACGCTCAGAGCAGTGACGCAGGTGGACCGCGGGAGCAGACTGCGGCAGAGGAGATCGAGACGGATGCCGGCACGCTGCCGGGGCCGTCCGCTTGGCCGCCCCGCACGCGCGAGCCCCGCAGCCAGCGCGCTCACAGGCGGCCGTCGTAGGCGCGCGAGATACCGAGCGCGTCCTTCATCAAGTAGTCGCGCAGGTGCCAGAGGGTCTTGACGACGCCGGCCGTGTCGGCCAGGCCGTCGGCCAGCCAGTGCGCGGGCAGCCGGGCCGTGTCCGGCACGGGCGTGGTCTCCGGGGTCGCCTGCAGCTGGCGCTCCCAGCCCCCCACGTGTGCCCGCTCCGGCTGCAGGGTCTCGATGTACCTGGCGGACGGAGGGCAGCCGGTCAGGGCGCGACAGTGGTGACGACTCGTCGACCGGGGAACGCTCATAGCGGGCGAACGGAGGGCGATGGGCGGCGCTGGAGCCGACGGACTGTGAACCAACAAGTGCCGCAGGTGACGCCGACACCCCGCCCGCCACACGTCCCACGTCAGCCGCGCCGCCCTGTGACGGCGTCGGACGCCTCGCCGCCTCACCTGATGTAGGCCTCCGAGTGGAGCAGGCGCTGCGGCCGCGCCGGCACGGCCACGAAGCGCGGCTCGGGCGCGCCCGTGCTGCTGGTCGGCGTCGAGACCCCGGAGCCCGCCTGGGCGCGCGTGCCGGCCGCCGCGCCGCCCGCCGACGACGCCGCCGCCGCCGCCCGGCGCGCCACGAACTTCCTGCGGGTCGGACGTCGCCGTCAGCACAGCCATGCATCACCAGCTGCCACACCAATGAAAGCACGCGTACTCGACACTGCCGCCGCTTTCCTTCGTCTCCTGTCGCACCCGGCCCCGCGGCATCACGCGGCTGCCCGTGGGCCGGCTGACGGCACGTGTGCACACGTGCGCCGCCGCTCACCTCCCGCGCTCGTGGGCGGCCAGCACGCGGCCGTTGTTCTTCTGGATGTGCACCTCCTTGACGTGACGCATGAGCCTGCCGGCGTTGGGGAACGGCACGGCGCCCTTCTTGATGCGGTTGCAGCCGCGCCACTGGCACTGGTACTCATCTGAGAACAGAACACGGCCGTTCAGATGCACAGCGCGGCCGCCTTTCCTGATCACGGCGACCCCCTGCATCAGCTCACAGCGTTCGACGGACAACGACCGCCCTCGCCATCACCGCCGTCTGGAACTGCCACGCTCGGTATCGCAGCCGGCGCCAGCCTCAGCAGCGACGGGACCCCGGGTCGCCGCAGTGTCCACAGTCCGCAACAGACGGCGGAGCCGGCCATGAGCGGCCGCCGTCCACGGCGCGGTCTACAGAGCTCGCCGGCGTCGCGTCGGGCCGCGCTGGCCCGCGGCGCACACTCACCGACGGTGGCGGCGTACACGTGCACGTGCCCGGACGGCTCCAGGTTGCAGTGGTCAATCAGGTCGCCCATGTCCTCGAACTGGTAGTCGCAGCCCATCCAGCAGCAGTCGTACACCACGTCCGGGCCCACCAGGCTGGCGCCCATGGCGGCGCGCGTCGGCGTGTCTGCCTCCATGCGCAGGCTGGCCACCGAGTCGGCGTTCATGCGCGCCGCCCGCTCCTCGTAGGCGGCCTTCTCGCCGGCCGACAGGTTCTTCCACTGGCGGCGGCGGCGGCGGCCGGGGCGGTCAGCGGCGCACCGGCCGGCGGGCGGGGGAGGGACACGCGCGGGGGGCGCTGGCCGCCGGCAGGTGGGGCTCGCCCGCACGGCGTGGCATGGGCAGCGTTGGGGCGAGCCAGCTGAACACGACGCGCTGACACTGCTCCCTCATGAACCACTACAGCTCAGTGGCAATGATGGGATTCATGTCCGCGGAGGCGCGTCAATGGGGTGATCCACGCCGCGGCAGTCAAAGGCTGCCGATGTTATCCGGTGGTGATGCAACACACGCGTCGCACATGCAGCGATGACTGGCCGGAAAATACACATGCCGCGAGCGTAACAAGGCAGTCTGGGGCACAAATATCGAGATGGCACAGTGGTCCATCAAGCACATCTCGAGGTCAAGTAACACCGCAACTAAACACTGACACAAAAAGCGTCAAAACAAAGCAAAATCCAGCTGGCTCAACTGGTGGCATGCACAGCGAACTTTCGTCAAAGCTGCGGATTATCCAGCCGGCTGCTTCCCCACGAGCGGGGCGGCTTGACTGCGACCGGCCACATCTTGGAGCTCAGGCCTACTGAAGCTGTCTCGCCCACAGTTCGGAGGCGAGCCCGTCCGGCGGCGCGAGAGACACGCCGGCCAGCCCTCTCCCGCTCCCGTTCTCAGGCCGTCTCCCGCTCCCAGAGGCCGGCCGCGTGCGAGACACGCCGGCCCTCTCCCGCTCCCGCTCTCAGGCCTTCTCCCGCTCCCAGAGGCCGGCCAGCCTTCTCCCGTCCTCAGAGGCCGGCCGCGTGCGAGACACGCCGGCCCCCTCCCGCTCTCAGGCCTTCTCCAGCCCCAGACGCCGGCCGCGTGCGCCACTCGGCTTACCTCCGTGCCCACCAGCCGGCTGATGTCGCCAAAGTTGGCCGCCGGGTTGTTGGACGTGATCTTTTTACGAATGTCGGCAGAGTACAGGATGTAGCCGGTCAGTATTTTGAGTCGCTTGCCACTCTAACGGGAGGAGAACAGAATGGTACAGAACGCAGGCAGGCAGGCAGGCAGCAGGCAACAACACATCACTGGCACCAACTAAAGTCGGGCGGGGGGGGGGGGGAGTCGGGGGTAGCACGAGCAGCGGGGGCGGGCGTTAGAGGCGAGCTGGCTCACCTTGCGCGAGCTGTGCGGCGTGCCGAGCGAGAGGTTGTCCGCCGAGCCGACCGAGGCCGGTGGACCGTCCAGCGAGTCCTCGTCGCCGGCCTTGCTGCCGGCCGGGGACGCCACCTGCCGGTCACAGCCGGGCTGGGGTCACTGCCGGCTCCCCAGCGGGCTGGGGCGGGGGTCAGCGGCGCCACGGACGGCGTCTTGGCACGTCACCGGTACAGCTGCGCCCGGTCTGGCCCGACAGCTCACCGACCACTGGACCGGATACCAAGGTCGTGGCCGGCCGGAGGCCCACGAGCCAGGTCACAGACGGCGCGGACGGCCGAACAGCCAGACATCGCCAACACCCCGTCTGTCAGGTCAGGGCCGACTAAGCCCAGTCCGAGGCGTCACGGACAGTAAGCGGTGGTCGACCATTGACTGTCACGGACGGCCCATAGCAAGGATACCGCGGCTCCCTCCCCTCCTACCCCCTCCGTCCTCAGCACCAGCACCGGATGGCCACACAGAGACGCGTTCCAGACCCGCCAGCCGCGCCGTCTCCGTTTCCGTTTCCGTTTCCGTTTCCGTTTCCGTTTCCGTCTCCGTCTCCGTCTCCATACCCCAACGGCTTCGGCGAAGAGGGACTTGATGCGCTCCTTGGCCTCCTGCTGGATGGCGGCGAGCTGCTGCTTGCGCAGCACCAGCAGCCGCCGGAAGTGGTACACCTCGTCGGCCAGCACCGCATCCGCGTGCGTGTAGCGCTTCAGCTCGCCGCCGCGTGGCACGATCTGCCGCTTCGACTCGTCGAACAGGTTCTCACAGATGTACACGTCCGACTCGGGGATCTCGGTGGGACGGCCTGCCGGGTCACCAGGTCACCAGGTCACCAGGTCACCAGGTCACTAGGTCACCAGGTCAGGTTGTCCACGTCGCTTCAAGCCAACGTCATGCATCGGACCGTTCACCGCTCGCGTGCGACTTCACTCGGTCTAACAACGATTCGAAAGTCTAGCACACGTCACAGCGACGGCGCACTTACACCGACACAGGGCGTGGCAGCTTACGTGAGCAGTAGTCGTTGTAGTCGAGCACGCAGCACTTGCCGGTGACGAACGCCATCGAGTGCGTGTCCTCCAGCAGCGAGACAAACACCTCCTGCTTGTAGAACATCTGCTGCACCGAGGTGGCGATCTCGGCCGCAGTCATGTACGTCGGTCCGTGGAAGTACTGAGCGCCGCTGCGATCATGCAGGGCCGGGGGTCGGGTCAGGGGTCCGACCGGGCAGAGGCAGCTACGGAGCAGCAAATGTACCGGTGCCAGCCGCTACGGAACATCTGGGCCTGCGACACCAGCCTTAAGACCATCTGGCCTGCTGTCGAGCTCCTCCCCTCCCCGTACACACATACGGCATCGGCCGAAAGATATGCAATGGCATTGTTAGCCACGGCCGTCTCCAGATGAAGACATCAGGGCCTGGCGTAGAGTACCATTGGTGATACTCCAGCGTAAATAGGTTCCAGATGTAGCTATCAGGGCCTGGCATAGAGTACCATTGGTGATACTCCAGCGTAAATAGGTCGCAAGAACGTGGAAGAGAGCTTATGCTCACACACTCCTAGGAAAATAAGAAAACAGCTAAGAAGCCACGAACACATCACTCAATCGGCTTCACCAAGTTAGGAGAGGGTCATCCAAGAACAAAGCACCTTTGCACCCTCACCACGCTTGGCCCCTGCTCCCGGCCCAGCTGAGTGCACTTACTCTGGCGTGGTCCACATGGTGTCCACCTGAGCGATGACCTGTTTGCTGTGCTCCGACTTGACGTACACACAGTCGCCGGTCTTGAGCACGAACGGGCCGCAGGTGAGCTGCTCGTAGTACGTGTTGCCGTCCATCGCCGTCCGATTGTCGAGCTCGACGTTCTGGGGGCGGACCCGGCGGTCAGCGGCGGCCCCTCTCCAGCCAGCCGGCCCGCTCCCACGTCGGGGCCGGCGGCGCACCGGCCGACGGGGGACAGAGCCCGGCGAGACACCGCTCCCCGGCGTGGTGACGAGTCACGGCCTCACGACGGACCGGGCGAGGCCGCAGCAGCTCGGCCGCCCGACGTCATCAGCTCATGTCAAGGCGCTCCCAGTGGTGGTACTGAGGACCGCGGCCCTTCGCACCACCGCCAATGCGTTCTGCGTCGATCCACACCGCTCTGGCATAAACCCCACCCCTCCCGGTACTGGCACTGCGACGGCTCGAGTCGCAGCTCCTGACCCGCCACCCATCAGCAGTCCTCTGCTCTGGTCTGATATGTCCGGCAGGGCGCGGCTGCGGACCTTCTGACCTTATGCGTGTCGACAGGTCCCTCTCTGACATACGTACCGGCAGGTCGCGGCTGTGGACGTTCTGACCTTATGCGTACCGACAGGTCCTTTACTGGCATACGTACCGGCAGGTCGCGGCTGCGGACCTTCTGACCTTATGCGTGTCGACAGGTTCTTCTCTGACATACGTACCGGCAGGTCGCGGCTGCGGACCTTCTCGCACTCCTCCAGCTCGGCCAGCTCCTCCTTGTGCTTCTCGACGCGCTTCCGGAACACGGACATGACGCGGCGCGGCTCGAGTGGCTGCTCGCGCTCCGTCAGCCGGTCCGGCGAGGCGAACGGGAACAGCTGGCGGCGGCGGCACCCAGTCAACATCTCAGCGGCGGCAGCACCCAGTCAGCATCTCAGCAGCGGCGGCACCCGTCAGCACCTCAACGGCGGCGGCACCCAGTCAGCATCTCAGCGGCGGCAGCACTCAGTCAGCATCTCAGCGGCGGCGGCACCCAGTTAGCATCTCCGCGGTGGCAGCACCCAGTCAGCATCTCAACGGCGGCGGCACCCAGTCAGCATCTCAGCGGCGGCAGCACCCAGTCAGCATCTCAGCGGCGGCGGCACCCAGTTAGCATCTCAGCGGCGGCAGCACCCGGTCAGCATCAGACACATCAAAGGCGAAGACGGGGAATCCCGTGGGATGTGATCTTCAGGATGTCATGTGAACTGCAGTGTTTCTCACAGGGGCAAAGTTGACATTCCATCACAATCTCCCACGAACACCCCATGATCTATCGCTCCACCCACGTCACCAGCATTTCCGCACTCCTCGCCGCCAGCGAGACGGCCCCCGCTCAGTTCCGCGCCTAGGCGCCGCGCCACCCACCTTGATCTTCTTGAAGGAGCGGGCGCGGCTGGAGTAGCGCGACTCGCACACGAACACGTCGTGCTCGGCGTAGCCCTCGGGCTGCATGCGGAAGTAGTCCTTGACCGACATCACCGAGCACTTGCCGACGATCTGGCTCAGCGGACAGCCGATGTGCTGGTCCGACTTGAACACCTCCTTCTCCAGGAACTTGCGCGTCGGCAGGTGGAACGTCTCTTCGGGCCGGAAGAACCAGCAGCCGTACATCATCTGCTGGCCCTCGTTGTTGGTCCACAGACGCTCTGCGGGGGTTGGAGGTCAGGGCGGAGGTCAGGTCAGGCCGCTCCGCTCCGGTCGAAGCTGCCACTATCGGTCAGCGTGCGGTGCAGCGATAGCTGCCTGGTTTAGGCGGTGTGATAAAGGCAGGTGTAGGCTGTTGGTCCCTGATAAATCAAACCGCAGAATATGAGCTGTGGCTTAATCCTGATGTGATCCCGCACACAGACACTGAAAACGAGGTAGACACGGAACTACTGACGATCTTCTGAAACTTCTAATTTTAGCTGTCTGTCGAGATCCCATCTCACAGCCGCCAAAATGCCATACATCGCTGCCATCAGAAGCGGTAAACTATTTGCCGCAATGGCTAACACGGCGATGGAGTTTTTCCCTTCCGCCGGAGGGACGAGCACGGGACCCGGCCCGTGTTCGGGGAGCGGCCGCCTTCCGTTCGTACCGATGTTGACGATGTGTCGCTCCACGCCCTTGTCTTTGGGCTCGACGTAGACGAACTCGCCGGTCCGGTATTGGATCTGGTTGAAGCTCATCGAGTCACCCAGGCCGCTGGGCGTCGGCTGCGACGCACAGGCGGGGGGGGGGGGGGGGCACAGTCAGCCACAAGGCACGCGCACGGGGCGGGCAGGGAACGGTCAGCCACCATCGGGGCACAGGAACGGAACGCGTGGGACGGTCAGCCACTATCAGGGCACAGGCGGGGGCGGAGGGAACGGTCAGCCACCATCAGGACGCGGGGACGGTCAGCCGTCATTGGGTCGCCGGGTTCACGAAAAACGGCAGCAGCCGTAAGCCCAGCGCCGACCCGGCCGCCAGGCAGCACCTAGCAGCGCTGGCGGGGACGCCACAGCAGGTCGCATCTGCTCTCGAGACGAGGACATGATAGCCGAGTGGTCAGGACCGCCGGCTCTCCCGCGTGGACCCCGGTTCCAATCTCCGCTGCGGCGTCGCCCTTGCGTGTTGGGGTGACCACCACAGCCGCTGATCCTTAATGAAAGGGTACATGACGATGTGCGCAATGCTCCTTCACAAAAGACCGCCACATTTTGGGACAGAGACCTCCAGCATGCGCCGCAGAAGGCCTAGAGCGCCGGGTGACCCAGGCCTGCCGAAAGCGCCGCGGGCACGGGTGCGTCTCACCTTGGCCTCCTGGCTCTCCTCCTCCTCCTGCTTGACCTCCGGCTTGAGCTGGGCCACCTGGGCCTTCAGATCGTCCTGCGAGTACTGCAGCGCCGGCGACGAGAGCAGAGTGCCGCTCCGACACAGCTCGTCCCTGCCGGCGGCCACGGGTCAGGTCACGGGGTCGCCCGGCCGGTCATGGAGCCACACAGCCGACGGCCACGGGTCAGGTCACGGGGCCGCCCGGCCCGGTCATGGAGCCACGCGGCGGAGGGTCACGGGCCAGGTCACGGGGCCGCCCGGCCCGGTCATGGAGCCACGCAGCGGAGGGTCACGGGCCAGGTCACGAGGCCGCCCGGCCCGGTCATGGAGCCGCACAGCCGACAGTCATGGGCCAGGTCACGGGGCCGCCCGGCCCGGTCATCGAGCCACGCAGCGAAGGGTCACGGGCCAGGTCACGGGGCCGCACGGCCCGGTCATGGAGCCACGCAGTGGAGGGTCACGGGCCAGGTCACGAGGCCGCCCGGCCCGGTCATGGAGCCGCACAGCCGACGGCCACAGATCAGGTCATGGGGCCGCCCGGCCCGGTCATGGAGCCACACAGCCGACGGTCACGGGTCAGGTCACGGGGCCGCCCGGCCCGGTCATGGAGCCACACAGCCGACGGTCACGGGTCAGGTCATGGGGGCCGCCCGGGCGGATCAATGGGGCCACACGGCCAGGCCACGAGGACCGCCCGGCCGGGTCCCGGGGTCGCCCGGCCGCAGGCGAAGGGACTCATCAGCCGGCGGTCGCGACAGCCCGGCCCGGGGCGACGGCGGGCAGCGATGCGACAGAGCTGTGGAAACGACCGACGGAAGCGCCCGGGCGCTCAGTTCCGGCAACAAGCTGATGCAAACAGTGCACGACCGTGTGCGACGTACATCCGCACTCAACTCTCCGGACAATCCGCACCATTCTGGCGTGAGAGGAGCCTCCCGGCTCCTGCACAGTCGACCGCCAGCGCCACCAGCCAGCTGCGGCCGCCGCTCACCGGTACGATATGAAGAACATCTGCATCTCGACGGCGTCTTCGAACGTCTGCGAGTCGGGCTTGCTGAGGCGGCGCGCGCGCTCCAGCACGGCGAACATGTCCTCTTGGAAGGCGTCCAGCCGCGTGTACAGGCCGCGGTCCAGCCGACGCTTGATGATCTCCAGCGAGATGCCGCGCACACGGCTGGCGGCACGGGCGGCGGACTCAGCGGTCGGACAGCACGACCGACGCCATGTGAACATGGCTAACCGCGAAGGGCCGAAAACAAGGCTAGATGTCAGCACTACACCATCGTCAGCACAGGAGGGAGTGAGCGCCCCCAGCACACAGCGGGGTGTCCGCGAAACACAGCTGTCGGCAAAGGCAGCGTCCCTAGCACACGGCAGCACTGACAGTGCAGAGAGAACCCGGCCGACCGGCAGATGACACGTCCGGGGGCCAGACCCGGTGGACGGTGGCAGTGCGCAACCGAGCACGTATGACGACGCGTGATGCGTGATGTGATACACGCAGACACATGGAATCCATGCGTTCCACCATAAAGCTGTGGTTCTCTCACGCCACCCAGATGCGTGAGTAGGAATAGAATGGAATGGAGCACTAATATGCACGGCTTTTGCGCCTCCATGGCAGGCGGAGCCGGAAGTTGTTCCAGAGGCAGTTGGGCCAGGACCAGCGAGCGCCGCCCCTCTCCAGCTGTTCCCGATCAGGGCGCTGCCGCCTGACCCGTACCTCTGACCCTCCACCTCGTCGTGCTCGGGCAGCTCTGCTAGCGAGTCGGAGTAGCAGCGGCCGTCGGCGTCCTGATGATTGTACGTGGCGATGAACAGCGATGTTAGCAGCTCCTGCGGGCGGTGACGGGGTGGGGTCAGGTCAGGTCAGAAGATCGATGGGAGCGAGCCCGGGGGTATAGATCAGCCCTAACCGGCGGGGGTGAGCTCGGGGGCGGTGGCCGACAGAGGCCATAGGTCAGCTTGACCGGCGGAGGTGACCCCGGGGGCGGTGGCCGGCAGAGGTTACAGGTCAGCCTGACCGGCGAGGGTGAGCCCGGGGGCGGTGGCCGGCAGAGGCCACAGGTCAGCCTGACCGGCGGGCGCGAGCCTGAAGAGATCCGACAGCCCGACAGAAACCGCACGGCCGGAACACAGCCGGAGCACAGCCGCAACACAATCCATACCTGGATGAGTGTCTTGACGTCGGGCACCTCCTCGGCGTCCTCGGTCAGCTGTAGCTTGGTCTGCAGCGCCAGCCGGTGTAGGTTCAGCGCGTCCTGCGGCACGCACGGCGGCGTGATCAGCCTACAGCTGTGGTTCAGCCCCACCGGCCGGCGCCGGCAACAGCCAACGGCACCGGCACACACTCAACGTCCACACCAGTTCCCACCGCCCACACACGCTAACATGCTCGTAGCCCCTCTGGTGAGACTGGTCGAACAGTCCTAAACACGTCGTCCCCGCGCGTGACAACCACGCGGATACGCTGATACACGTACGCAGCCATTGTTGTGCTGTTTCCGTGTCCCGCACCGCCGACGACGTCGGCAACTGCGGCCCGGCGCCTCCCCGAGCCCCGCTGACCTTGTACACCTGGGAGTCGGGCTCGTTGTACTTGCAGGCGTTGTCGAACATGAGCACCAGGTCGGCCATGATCTCGTCCATGGTGTTGTACGTGCCCGTCTTGAGCTTCTGGGCGATCCGGTCCAGGTGGATCGGGTGCTTGATCACCTCGAAGTAGTCCGGGTACTCCTGATGGGTCAACACGGTCAGGTCAGCGGTCTCAGGTCAGGTCAGCGACTCCAGGTCAGGTCAGGCCAGCGGCCAGCGCTCTCGATGCACGCCAATGGCATCACGTCACTCAAGACGCGCCAGCAAATACAGGTGGCAGGGGGCGAACCACAGCTGGACAGTCTGAGCACACAGGGGAATACGACCACACATGGCGGCCGTGGCGGGCATACCGATGCCGCTCGGCCCTGCATCCCGGCGGCGGCAGGCTGGGGACGGCGAGGGAGAACGCTCACCAGCTTGGAGGGCAGCCGGGCGAATATGAGCGACAGCTGGCGGCCGGTGGCGTCAGTGTGGTCCCGGATGGTGTTGAACAGCGTCCACATCTTCTCCAGGAGCTGGGCGCGGCTGCACGGCACGGGCGCCAGCGGTCAGCGTCCAGCATTGAGCAGCGATCAGACACTATTCACCAGCGTGTCACCTCCACACACCAGCCCACCACAGCACCTGAGAGCGTGCTCGCGCAGCACCAAACCACCGTCAGCACCGGCCGCCCGTTACACGCCCGTCACCACTCCGCAGCACGACAGAACCCGTCCCACCGCGAACACCGTCCAGAGCCATCACGCCACACGCCGAGCGCCGCTGATACGACGACGACAGTGTGGGATCACGGCAGCCGAGCAGCTCTCGAGCGGGGCATGCCCGCTGGTGGACGCGCCGCGGCGGCGCACCGAGGACGGCCCTTACCTGAGCACGCGCGGCTTGTTGCGGACGCCCTCGTGCGCCGGCAGCGGGCCCAGCTCGCGCACCTTCGACATCAGCACCCGCTCCAGCACGTTGGCGTCGTCGTAGATCACCGAGCCCTCCTCGTTGTATTGACGGCAGTTGTTGAACATGAGCTGCCGGCACCAATGGGTTAGCATAGTGCACACTGTCTCCAAACCCCGCATGCGCTCCATTTTCACATGGTGTGACTACCGTAACGGTAGATCGGCTGAGGACCAATGAGTGCGAATGATGAATATCATAGTCGGCACACCGACAGGACAGACTGTGTCCTGAGAAATACTTACTGTCGAGCCTCACCGAGACTAGACCACCAAGTCAACGACTGACCAGACACAAAGGCAGCAACGCAGTCGTTCGTTGACACCGAAGACCCTGCCCTTCCGCCCAACCGCCCTGCACACTGACGCAGCCGGAGCAGCACACTGGCTCTTACGCCGGCGGCTGGCCGGGCCCGGCCAGCGCCGCGCGCCCACCTTGAAGTCCTGCAGGATCTCGATCTCGGTGTCGTACTGGTCGGAGCGGATCTTGGACTCGATGCGCGCCAGGTCGATGGGGCTGTCGATGATCTCGTAGTAGTCCGGGTACAGCTTGCGGCTCGGCAGCTCCATGAACACGGCGCTCAGCTGGCGCATCTCGTCGTTCTGCGGCCACGCCGTGCCGCGCCGTCAGCCCGGTCCAGAGCACGGCCGCGCCGCGAGCCCCCAGGCCACGCCACGCCGCGCCGTGAGCCAAGGAAACCACGCCGCGCCGTGAGCCCGGGCCACAACATCGCCGCGCCGTCAGTCCCCAGGCCACACTACGCCGCGCCGTGACCCCAGGTCACAATACGGCGCGCCACGAGCCCAGCCCACACCACGGCCGCGCCACGAGCCCGGCCCACACCACGGCCGCGCCGCGAGCCCAGCCCACACCACGGCCGCGCCACGAGCCCAGCCCACACCACGGCCGCGCCACGAGCCCAGGCCACACCACGGCCGCGCCACGAGCCCGGCCCATACCACGGCCGCGCCGCGAGCCCAGCCCACACACACGGCGCGCCACGAGCCCAGCCCACACCACGGCCGCGCCACGAGCCAGCCCACACCACGGCCCGCGCCACGAGCCCAGCCCAACCACGGCCGCGCCACGAGCCCAGCCCCACACACGGCCGCGCCACGAGCCCAGCCCACACCACGGGCCGCGCCACGAGCCCAGGCCCACACCACGGCCGCGCCACGAGCCCGGCCATACCACGGCCGCGCCGCGAGCCCAGCCACACCACGGCCGCCGCCACGAGCCCAGCCCACACCACGGCCGCGCCACGAGCCCAGCCCACACCACGGCCGCGCCACGAGCCCAGCCCACACCACGGCCGCGCCACGAGCCCAGCCCATGCCACGGCCGCGCCACGAGCTCAGCCACACCACGGCCGCGCCGGCGAGCACAGGTCACACCCGGCCGCGCCACGAGCCCAGCCCACACCACGGCCGCGCCGCAAGCCCAGCCCATGCCACGGCCGCGCCACGAGCTCAGCCCATGCCACGGCCGCGCCACGAGCCCAGCCCACACCACGGCCGCGCCACGAGCCCAGCCCATACCACGGCCGCGCCGCGAGCCTAGCCTACACCACGGCCGCGCCGCGAGCCCAGCCCACACCACGGCCGCGCCGCGAGCACAGGTCACACCACGGCCGCGCGGCCGGAAACGGCGCGCCTAGCCACCGGCATAGTTACATTGATATCGATTTTACTGAAGGCCCATCCAAGTGGTGGTTGTTCTGAGCCTACTCGGTCAGGAAACAAGAAACGCAGCACACAGAAAGATCCATCCACACGCAGAGGCAAAATCAATGAGTTTCAGTTCTTGAGACAGCGATTTTTAACACTCACGAATGCTAGCACGAAGGGGCGCGAACGGCCGCCAAGGGCAACCGTCCCACGCGGGGGCGGCGCGGTACGAGTCTGCCGCTGGGTGGCAGTCAGTCGAACGCGCGGCAGATGCAGCGAGCCGACGTCACCCAAAACAGCCCGAGTTTGACGTTGGAAAACCTCGGCGCGTGTCACGAATAGAGCACACAGTGCACAGGAGGGATTCGGGGCCCTCCAGTGCCCTGTACACACGCGGCAGCGCCGGTGGCGCACACGATCCGCGCCGCTGCGCCAGCCAGGTGCGTCAGAGCGGGTGGAACGACGCAGCTGTACCGCCACGTCACCTCGAGCGCTGATCACGGCGTCTCTCTGGCGCCGGGGCCTGTGGACACGTCACGGGACACGACAGCGCCCCAGCCGCCCCCGCTCAAGCAGAAAGCGTCTCCGCCAGCAGGCGCTGCCTCGAGCCGACGGCGGCAGCGGCGTCCGCGGCGGCGCACTGACCACGTAGTCGCGGATGGTGCGGTAGAGGATCTTGCAGCGGTTCTTGACCGGGTGGTCGCGGCGCACGGGCCGCACCGGCGGCAGCGGCTGTGAGTCCTCCTCCGAGTTGTCCTCGTCGCCCTGCCGCCGACGCACGCGCACGTTAGGGGCCACTGGGCCGCGGTCGTTAGTGGGCGAGAGGGCCGCTCATACAGTGACCGCCCGGCTGGCGGCGACCAGTACAGCTGAATGGCCAGCATTCAGTGATGGCAAGTGATTGAGTGTGACTGTCTTCAAACTTAACACTCGATGGACTACAAGAAATCGATCGACCGAGGACTTCTCCCGGGCGCAGCGTCTCAGATGAACGCCGACTGGGCTCGTGCACGTCGAGAACTGCGCGAACAACAGTATTCGTCACCGCTGAACCACGCTGCCATGACGAGCACTGCACCATCGCACAGACCGTCTCCCAGGAGCACCGGCGGCCGCCCACCTCGTCAAAGTCCGCCGCCATTTCGGCCACCTTTTTCTGCAGCAGCTTCTGCAGCCGGAGCGCGTCCTTGTACAGCTTCGAGTCGGGCGGGTTGTACTGCTTCGCGTTGTCGAACATGACGTTCATGTCGTCCTCCATGTCCTGAATGCCAGCATACAATCCGTCCTGCCGGCAGATCAGCGCCGCCGTTACAAAAAACCGCACACAAGGATACAAACAGCGTGCCACACATTCACATACAAAACAACAGCTGCTGGTTTAAAACTCAGCAGCACCAAGTGTTCCGTTTTGTGACGAAAAAGTATCAGCAGTAGCAGAGTGTTTGAGCAAAAGTATTCTTGGTCAAACGCTCTGATCGCAGCGTCCACAGCAGCTGAGAAGGCAGCCCCTCACCTTCATCTTCCTCTTGATCTGCCGGAGCGCGATTGGGTTCTTGATTTCGTCATAGTAATCCGGATAGAGGCGTCGCGAGGGCAGCGTCTGGAACGGCTCGCTCAGCAGGTAGCCTGGAGCGGACGTCAGCCGGTCACCACACGGCAGTCACTGGACCGTCCAGAACAGCGCCAGACAGCAGTCACATGGACCGTCCAGAACAGCGCCAAACAGCAACCACATGGACCGTCCAGAACAGCGCCAAACAGCAACCACATGGACCGTCCAGAACAACGTCAAACAGCAGCCACATGAACCGTCCAGAACAGCGCCAAACAGCAACCACATGGGCCGTCCAGAACAGCGCCAAACAGCAGCCACCTGAACCGTCCAGAACAGCGCCAAACAGCAGTCACATGGACCGTCCAGAACAGCGCCAAACAGCAGTGGCGTCCAGAACAGCGCCACCCAACAGCAGCGGCGGCCAGAACAGCATCACCCAACAGCAGCGGCGGCCAGAACAGCTCCACCCAACAGCACGGAACAGAGCCACAGGCGAGCAGCGTCCAGCATACAGGACCACGCGGCGGTCACCACGTGATGAACTCCGCCCCGGCTGTGTGCTGTGCTGGCCATCAGTGAGCGGCGCCTGCGGTGTGGATAGGTAGTTGTGGGTGTGCGTGTGTGGCGCGCGGGACCACTGACCAGCCTGCGTGGTGTAGCTGCGGACGGCGTCGAACAGCTGCCAGAGCGGGTTGTCCTCGCTCATGTTGCTGTCGCTGCTGCTTCGCTCCTCGTCGGCCTCGTACTCCAGCTGCGCCAGCTCAGCCGACAGACAGGCCGTGCCGCCGATCCGCTTCGACCTGCGGCGAGTCGCGGCATCACACACCGCGGCGCGCCGCGGCTCGCGGCCGCCGCCGCCGCCGGGTCACGATCCGCCGCAGACCGCAGGCATACCCCGCGTCGGCGGTGAGTCTCTCGGCCAGCGACAGCTCGCTCGCCTCCCGTCGGGACACGTCGCCAGTCCGCCTCAGGACGCACGCTCGCCGCGTCTCCCGGCGGAACACGTCCTGTCATTCCGCCCCCACCCCCTCACCAAAAGCACTCGCCGTCTGTTCGCCTGCCCCGTCCCGGCCGTCTGTTCGCCTCTCCCGGCTCGGCCGTCTGTTACCCTGTCCCAGCTCGGCCGTCTGTTCCCCTGCCCCGGCCGTCTGCTCCCCTGCCCCGCTCCGGCCGTTTGTTCGCCTGCCCCGGCTGTCTGTTCGCCTGCCCCGGCCCAGCCGTCTGTTCACCTACCCCGGCCTGGCCGTCTGTTCGCCAGCCTCGGCCATCTGTTCCCCTGCCCCGGCCCGGCCATCTGTTCCCCTGCCCCGGCCCGGCCGTCTGTTCGCCTGCCCGGGCTGTCTGTTGCCCCGCCCCGGCCTAGCCGCTTGTTTCCCTGTCCCGGCCCGGCTGTCTGTTCCCCTGCCCGGTCGTCTGTTCCCCTGCCTCAGCTCGGCCGTATATTCACCTGCCCCGGCCCAGCCGTCTGTTCCCCTGCCCCGGCCCGGCCGTCTGTTCCCCTGCCCCGGCCCGGCCGTCTGTTCCCCTGCTCCGGCCCGGCCGTCTGTTCCCCTGCCCCGGCCCGGTTGCCTGTTCCCCTGCCCCCGCTCGGCCGTCTGTTCCCCTGCCCCCGCTCGGCCGTCTGTTCCCCTGCCCGGGCTGTCTGTCCGGCTGCCCCGGCCCGGTCGTCCGACCACAGCTCGGCCGGCTGCTCACCTGATGCGCTCGCTGGACTTGGCGGCCGTCAGCCGGGCGTGCTCGATCTCGGCGCGCCGGCTCTGCGCCAGCCGCCGCAGCACCTTGGCGTCCTTATAGATCTGGCTGCCCGGCTCGTTGAACGTGCATGCGTTCTTGAACACCAGCTGCAGGTCCGTCTCCAGCTCGTGCAGCGACGTGTATTCGGAGCCCTGGATGCGCTGCGCCACCGTCTTCAGGTCCATCGGCTGCTTGATGACCTCGTAGTACTGTGGCAGCTTCTGCGGGCCGGACGGCGGATGGTGAGGGCGGTGACGTGACCCGAGGGAGGGGCCCGGGGTGACGGTCAGGAGCCCCTGCAGATGGCTGATGGTTGAGCACACTGGGGCTCGTTTTGGAAATGCCTGTGCGTGCGGAGACATCTCTATTTGGTGCATATTGCTACGCAACGCAATATTCGTAGTTCGTATCATTTGCTCACAAATAAAACTGCGTACATCATATGCATGAAATAATTCACCTACATCACATGCAAAGCACTCAGCAGTAAAAATGCACAAGACGAGCGTCGGCAGAAACCAAACGAGACAAGTGGTAGCTAACAGCAGGGGTTCAGCGCTCGAAGGGCCAGAAAGTGGCACCGAAGTATGAAGCATGCGCACGCTTTACAAAAGCACACAAACAAAACTAAAACAAACAAACCGCCCACCCAGGGAGAGTGCAGTGACCCCGAGAGCTGGTGTCCCTGTCCTCGGCACGTCCGCAGACGGCGCCGGTTTACGGGGCCGTCCCGTCCACGGGGTCCCCGCCGGGGAGTGGCCCGGGTCGCGTCATGAGCTCACAGCAGAGGGAGGCCGCGAAGACTCCGGCAGCAAATTGGGTGTGTTTTGTGAGGTGCTGGGGCCGCGCTCCGGCCGCTCAGGCCCTCGCTGAGGGGCGGAGGACGGAGCATTACAGGCGGGACGGCGCGCCGGGCCGCAGCGCGAGCCCCCGAACATGGTGCTCCGCGGCCACCGAGGCCGACTCGCAATGCAGGGAATGGGCTTTAATATGTGGCAGGCCTCCGTAATAGCAAGACGGGGTCCCAGGAGCCTTCTACAGTTACGAAGCGGATGCTACGATACGATAATACAATGCTGTTGGACCATATTCAAAACGCTAAATAATATCATTGCGTCCCACAGACGAGCACAAAAAATAAACGCTTAACATGCTCCACTACATTAGCGCATGTCCTAAATCAACAACCACACGAAACAGTCATGCTGGCAAGCACATACCTTCGGGGTTGCATGCCCAATCATCGCAGACGCACAGCAGCCCCGCTCGTCCGGCGGCGCGGACGGCAGCGTCCACTGATGGTGACGGGAGGGGGAGGCGCCCGTCCCTATGGGCCTGAGGGCGGGCATTCTGGGCCCAGCTGGAAGCGGCTCCACCATCTACAGTGAGCCTGAGAGTACCCCAGACCCCATCTGGGGGCGGTCCCACCACACGCAGCCGGCCGGTGAGTGCGCCAGGCTCAACGCAGGTGGTCCCACCCTCGACAGTGAGCCTGAGAGTACCCTAGACCAAATCTGGGGGCGGCCCCATCACACCCAGCCGGCCGGTGAGTGCACCAAGCTCAGCTAAGGTGGTCCCGCCCTCGACAGTGAGCCTGAGAGCACGCCCGAGCCCAGCCAGGGCGGCCCCACCGCCGTCAGCGGGACGCCGCCCGACCTCTCCCCGCCGCCGCCGCCGCCGCGGCCTGGCTTACCGTCCGGTGCGGCACCAGCTGGAACCAGGTGGACATCTGGCGGCCATCGGCGTCCTGCGCCGTGGCGACCGAGGTGAACAGCTCCTCCAGGGCGTCCTCCAGCTCTGCGGGCGCCGGTCGGCCAGACGTCAGACATCGGCCGCCTCCCGGCAGCTCTCGGCCGCGCTACGTCACAGGGCTGACGGCGGACCTGCCTACACGGGCCAGCACCGCGTCCGGCCGCATCGCTGCGCGAGTGTGCGGAGGGGTTGCCCGGAGGAGGATTGTGATGATGCTTGGGGTCACCGTCGATCGTCACAGCATATGGATGAGGCTTTTGGCCACGATGGTCGCAATGGCCACCTTGTCAACTCCAAGCACACCATGTGCGCAGGCAAAGTGCTATCTGTAGATATGTACCCACATTAAAGCGGTTCCCACGCGTTGTCACGCCTGGGCAGTGACTGCTGCGGACCTCCACCCTACAACCAGGGGGGGGGGGGGGGAGGGGCAGGACCTGGTGTGGGGCTGGTGCCGCAGACCGTCGCGCCCTCGGACCGGGGCCGGACCGCCGCGCGACGGCCGCGGCTGCCGTGCTGCGGTCCCGGCGGCGTCCGGCACGTATAAAGGACCGGAGCGAGACGGACGGCGGCCGGCCGGCCCGGCAGGCGTCCCCTGCCGCGCTGCAGGATCGGCGGCGGCCGGCACGTGTACAGGACCGAGGCCGGCGAGGCGCCTGGTGGGCGGCCCCTGCCGCGCTGCAGCCGGGGCGGCGGCCGGACGGTGGACAGGTCCGGCGCCGAGCTGACCAGCCCGGTCGGCCCCGCACCGCCGGACGCCTCGCCGCCGGCCGAGTCGAGCCGGTGGCCGGGCTTAGGATCGGAGGAGGGTGGCCAGGAGGGAAGCGGCGGCAACAGGAGTCCTGCGATGACAGTGGACAGGTCAGAGGAGCAGGAGCGCGCACACTCAGGGAGCACATGAGCCGCAGCCAATGGAATCATTGAAACAAAGAGAGATACTTCTACCGTCACAACGATGACACCAACACTTCCAGCTATTGCATCGGTTCATGAACCTAGACACTACGTCAGCGCAGGGACCGTCACACGCCTCTCCGGCCGGTCACATACAGCGATCCCGCACCAACCCGTCTCCAGCCGCCACCGCGCTCGCGCTGTCTCGCGGACCGCGCCGGGCCTGCGCGGCGAGAGGGGGCCTGCTGCCGCCACTGACCGCCGGGTGTCCAGTTGCTGATTCCGAGTGTTGCGCCAGCGAGCTGCCGGCCTCCGACTCCTCGCTCGCCGGTCAGCGGCATCGCCTCCGAGCCGCGCCGGCTCTGCGGACACGGAACGGGGCGACCGTCACAGCGAGACACGGGGCGGAGCGGCCGTCACAGCGGAACACACGGGCGGAGCGGCCGTCACAGCGGAACACACGGGCGGAGCGGCCGTCACAGCGGAACACATGGGCGGAGCGGCCGTCACAGCGGAACACACGGGCGGAGCGGCCGTTACAGCGGAACACACGGGCGGAGCGGCCGTTACAGCGGAACACATGGGCGGAGCGGCCGTCACAGCGGAACATGGGCGGAGCGGCCGTCACAGCGGGACATGGACAGAGCGGCCGTCACGGCGGGACATGGGCGGAGCGACCGTCACAGCGGAACACACGGGCGGAGCGGCCGCTCACAGCGGAACACTAGGCGTCGGAGCGGCCGTCACAGCGGAACACATGGGCGGAGCGGCCGTCACAGCGGAACACATGGGCGGAGCGACCGTCACAGCGGAACACACGGGCGGAGCGGCCGTTACAGCGGAACACATGGGCGGAGCGGCCGTCACGGCGGGACATGGACAGAGCGGCCGTCACGGCGGGACATGGGCGGAGCGGCCGTCACAGCGGAACACACGGGCGGAGCGGCCGTTACAGCGGAACACATGGGCGGAGCGGCCGTCACGGCGGGACATGGACAGAGCGGCCGTCACGGCGGGACATGGGCGGAGCGGCCGTCACAGCGGAACACGGGCGGAGCGGCCGTTACAGCGGGACACGGCTCCCGGGATAGAGGGAGACACGGGAGGCCACCGCTGTCATGAGATCCAATGGGTTGAGACGTGGCCTCTGGGCAGAGTCCCGACCTCAAGACCGACAGCCAGTGGCCGGACCAGACGGACACGTGTCAGACACATCACACAGGGCACCTTCACCACGGAGACAGGGGAACATTCAGCGGCACGACGGCTAGGCCCGAGATACAAAGTCTGCAGCCGCGAGGGAGTCTGTGGGGGTGTGTAGCGGAGGGAAGCAGGCCCCGCCGTCGACGGCAGGTCAGCGGGTTGGAGCTCAGGACCAGGTCAGAACATCGAGGGCACCATGGAGGCTTGCTTGCTACACCGGTTCATCCGTGTCAGGCCATCAACAACAGGATCCGGAGCCAAGGTCAAATGGAATACGTAAACATCTCTAACAATGGCAACACGCTTCCCCTGATCTATTTGATGTTTCTAGGTTGAATGCCGTTTTGCATTTTCCACCAATTCATACTGTTGCGTCTTGATCATCGCAAAACCAACAGTAAGTTTCATTTTTACCGCTGTCGGCGGCGCCTACGCATTAATTAAAATATAACTCCTTTGAGAAGTTTTGGGAGCTTCATCTCAACCGATTCCCATGCTGAGGTACCTAATGCGATGGTGTCATGTCCTCAGATCACGTCACTCCCAGCTGTGCGGCAACTTGCGGCGCATGCCGACATGCAAAAAAGCTAAGGTGTTGTTTGTGCCAGCAGAAAGTGCTCGAAGTGCAGACTCAGCCTGCACAGCCACTCTTTGATCTGTCGCAAGGAGAAAACGAGACGTGTCTGATGATGATAAGCACGTTCAGCAAACTCTTTTTCAAGCCCCTCCCAAAAATCGTCCACGCCAGTTTCACCACGGCTACTTTCGCGACCTTGACGGTTACTCAATCTAGTTTCGTTAAACTTCTCAGTTTTCACGCGGTTCTGGGGCTTGTGGTGCGTTCATCGTTGCATTCATGCAGACAACCTTGGTGTTTACATCTGTGCAAGCTTTACACAAAACCCAATTCATTTGATGAAAAAATGCGTCCAAACAGCGGTGTGTTTGACGGAGCAGCTATCCAAACTTGAATTCGCTCCACATCTATCACGTGATATATGACGACAATGAAACGTCCCATTGCTGTCGCGGTAAGCCTCTGTCTCCAGCTCCACGTGTGCCTACTTCGGGAGCTTCCTTGCGACTGGGTCATCACGATCATCGACAGCGCCACAAACGAGAGCGTCGAGCACAAACTTAACGCCACACAAGCCACCGGCAACTCAACGGCGGGCAACGGTTCCACCGCAGATGTGACAGACCTCCACAACGTGACGAGCATTGATTTCGCCACCGCCCGCCGCTACCTGACACGTCTACCGGCCGGCGTGATCAGCAATATCTCGGGCCTCATCTACCTGCACCCGGACCCGTTCGCGTTCGGTCTGAGCCTGCGGCTGCAGCTACGCTGCGGCGCCGGCGGCAGCCAGCTGCAGGAGCGACTGGTGCATGGGCTGTTGACGCAGCGCCAGCTGCCGCGGGTCAGCGTGCGCGGCGTGTCGGCGCTGAGCGGTCCCACCGAGCTGCTGCTGGAGGCGGTGCCGGTGCGGCGGCCCGGCCAGCCGGTCACCTTCGAGGCGCCGCTGCCGGTGCTGGCCGCCCAGCTGACCGTGCAGGTCGACTGCCTGGCGCGCGTGGCCGGCGCGCACCGTCACCTGCGGCTGGAGGCGCCGGTCGACCGGCCGCCGCCGCCGCCCGCCGCGCTCCAGCTCGCCTGCCTGGGCGACCGGGCCCGCGCCCGCATCGGCAGCCAGCTGGCGGCGCCGCTGTCGCGGCTGCAGCGCGTCCGGCTGCGACCGCCCCGCGCCGCCCAGCCGTGGAGCGACGGCGTGCCGCCGCCCGCCGTTCTCACCGGCTACCGCTACCTCGCCCACCTGGTGCAGACGCAGTTCCTAGAGCGCGAGCAGCGCCAGACAACGACGCACGATCTGCTCGCCAGCCCCATGCAGCGGCTCGCCGAGTGGGCGCGGCCCCTCGACCGCGCCGCCCGCTACTTCTTCTTCACGCACAACCTGAGCGTGTACGCGTCGCCCGACAGCTACGTTAAGCTGTCGCCGGCGGTGCTGGGCTCGGGACAGCGCGCGCTGCCCTCGGTCGTCTACCTGGACCGCGGCGACACGCTGGTGTTCGACTTCACCGTACCGACATCGGCCGGCGCGCGGCTGCGCACCGATCGGCCCGACCTGCTGGTGGTGGCCGCGTCCGACTGCCGCGCCGCCGCCGACGGCTGGCGCACCTGCCGCGCGCGCGTGCAAACCGCAGCCGACCCTGCGGCTGGGGCAGCAGCCGGTCGGCCGCAACCTCAGCTGGGCGACGCTGCGGCTGGAGGCGGACGGCGACGCGTGCCGGCGCCAGCCGCCGGCGCCGCTGCACGTGGCCGTCGGCTGTCCGCCCAGCCGCACGCTCATCTTCAACTTCACCAGCACGTTCCGGCTGTCGGGCCTGGGCATCACGTGCCGGGGCTGCCTGTGCAACCGCGGCGTGCCGTGCCTGCTGTACTCGGAGCGCTTCCAGCCGCAGCTGGCGCTGGTCGACTGGACCACGTACGCCGCCCAGCCCTACCTCGGCAACTACACGCTCACCGTGCTGGGCGAGGGCTACCACGCCAACAACGTCAGCCGCTACAGCGCGGCGCGGCGTCGGCTCATGGCCCGCCCGCTGTGGCGGATCTGGGAGCCGTCCATCCAGGACGAGAGCGCTGATGTGGCCACGGCAGACCTCGATCGGCCCATCTTCCGCAACGTGCCCGAAGCCCTGTTCAACGGCATCAAATGGCACTGCGACCAGTACAGCGACTGCCCGCCCTACGTGCGCCTGCTGCTCTCCAACTGGCGCGTCGAGAGCGGCACCTTCTGCCGACACAGCGTCGAGGTGGTGGTGCAGCTGTACGGCGTGCCGACCAACACGTTCGTCGACGTGATCACCATGTCGGCCGTGTACGGCGTCACGTTCATCGTGTCGCTCGGCTACACGTGCTGGCTGATGCTGCGCTTGCGAAGGGTGCGTGACAACGTCAGCATAGTGGACCTGTACCCCGTGCAGCGCTGACGCGTGCGGCGCTGACGCGAGTGCAGGGACCCGTCAGCGGGGGAGACGGACGTCTGGAAGGGCATCCTCGGTGATGTTGAAGGGGATGTGGTCCAAACTGTGCAGCGCTGTCGGAATGCCGCGCAGGTATCGAAGTGTGCCACGCTCATTTGTGCGGCCCTCACGTCAGTAGGATAGTGCAAGGAGATGCACGTGAGAGGAACTCAATACCCAATGCAAACGGTGCGTGTGAAAGGCACTCAATGCTTACGCAACTTATAATTAAACTCTGTGCCAGCAACACTAATAACGGCGAACTTGTTCGAGCGCATGATTTTCTTCACCATGTGTGTTTGCTTTGTGTTGTATTTGCCTTGTAAGAGCCAAGAGCTAATGTTCAATGAACTTATAAATGATTTGCCGTAGGCAGCGCACTGTGGTATATCGTTCCACTTTGTGGTGTGTTATATGCCGTTCAACCAGGTAGTCAATATAGGATCGTAATGCCATGCACATTAGGCTTCCCGAAAAAACGACATGGCACTTAATTCATTGCAAAGGCATACATGCGGTTCTCCCGAGGAGAAATCTTGGGACAACTGAGACCTTAGGCGGGTTGTTTACGAGCATTTGGTCACGTTTTCAGCTTGGCACTTCAGGACGTATGGCGGCTGTTTTCCCCGATTCCAGCCATACAGGACAGCGTTTTGCTGTTGAGATGACGACGTGGCTCATCTGATGACGCTTCAGTGGTGCTGCATGCTCGTGTGCATGCCGAAGACTGGCTGATGTGTTTGGTTCCAGCCCGACTGTGGGAGGGCCTCCCCCACCGGTTCCCGGAGCGTTGGTGGCCGGTGGGGGAGGGGGATGACCGTCCACCGGCGGGATAAACCCCGCGCCAGCCACCGGACGCAGCGCGGCATCACGGGACGTAATCCTCCTCTGGACGACGGACGCATCTGTCTCTTGACCCAGCTCGGGGTCACGTCCTCACAGCGGGCCACAAGAGCAGGCCCTGTTTCATTGAGCCGGCTCCACTCTTCACAGTAACCAGGATCGAAAACAGGGCCGCATGTTTGTGCGACACGGCGGGGATACCGTCGGCGAGCGAGTGGGCAGCACCCACTTCCCACAGCCTGCACCTTCTGTCACCGGCGGAGGGCGTGCATACCAGGCACGGGCGCAGATACAAGGCATGAGGACAAAGGGAGGGACCAGCAGGAGGGACCAGCGAAAGGGACTCGCAGGGACACACCAGGTGGTGCCCTCCAGCCCGGCGGGACCTCGTCCGCCCGCCCGGTCGGCACCTCACCATTCGGTTCAGTCGGAGGGTGATCTTCTCCGGCCGCTCCTCCTCCTTGATGGCCTTCTCGGCGGGCGCCTCCTCCGTCACGATGCTGCTGCGGTGCTCGTTGAAGGCGTTCCACAGCGCCACGGCGTCCGTGTACTCCCGACTGGACCGCTGCAGAAGAGCGACGGACGGGGGAGGGTGAGACATCTCCGGACCGGCTACAAGTCAGGGCGGAGTGGCGCAGTCGGACAGCAGACCGCTCAGTATGGGCATCCAGAGCGTGGCTGCGATACACGTGAGCGTCGCATTTCGCACGTCAACGTACCACCAGCTCAGCAGTGCTGGATGTCAGAAAGCGAGAGAAAGTCAACAGCGAGACCTTCCCATGTCATGTGGAAAAAGCATTATGCAACGGTAAGCAGACGTTACTTAAAATCAATGCACATGCACCGGAAACAGTGATTGGCCTACACGCCAGCTCCTTGGAACGTGCGAAACACCACGTCTCCTCACCGGGAAGTACTGTTTGGCATTTTCCACGAGCAGCTCGACGTCGGACGCCAGGTGATTGACGTCGTCATACTGGTGCGTGTTCAGGTTCACCTGGATCTTGGCGACATCGATCGGATTCCGGATCGTCTGCAAACACCCATCGGCCGTGAACAAACGCGACAACTCGTGCAAAATGAACGCTGCAAATACCCAGCGGCTGTGAACAAACGCCAAAACTCGTGCAAAATGAACGCGGCAAAACCTTACCGGACGTAAACCCTAAAGGCGAAGAGGACGGGGACTAATAATGATCCCAGTATGGCAAAGACCAGATGAGTTTAAAATTGTGCAACAAAATTGAAAACATACAGGTGCATCATCAACTGCATACAGAAGCTACGACTGGTAGCTACATACGCCAACCACATTTCACAACAACTTCCTGCTCATAACCTCTTGACATAGCACCAACCACCCATCCAACCGCTTGTCAGCGCACGCATTTCCCCAACATGTCGACAATCGACATCATGACAGTGATATAAGCCCAATAATGCATGCACTACTGCTGTGTAGGGCAAAATCAAAATAGTAATGGTCTCACAATTCTTCAGGACAGTATCTTGGAGTCATTATTTTGTATTACAGGACAGGACAATATTTTGTTGTCATACCAGAACACCGAATCGTTAATCTCGTGATGGTTCCAAATGATCGAAATGCCTGGTTCACGACTGTGCACCATTGCAATAATGATGCGAATGGCGCGCACAACTGCAGGTGTGTTCACTTTGTTCCAAAGTAGTGAGGACCACCCTCACACGTTTTTGCACAATAATCATCAGTCACGTGTTCCTGTCTTGGATGGTTGATTCGGACTGACTTGCGTAAGCCCACCCAATTACTATTGTTATTTCGTTCAGAAATATGCCAGTGATGCGTTCTCCGCTCCGAATGTCAGAAAACCTGACATCTTCAGTAGAAAGAGGTGACTACAACTTCACATGGAAGATCCAATCACGATGCTTACCTCGTAATAATCCGGGTTGACGCGTCTTTTTGGCAGCCGGTAGAAAGTCTCGGACACAAAGGACCCATCAGGACGTTTGTGATTCAGCACCGATTCCAGCAGTTGTTTCAGTTGTTCTTGCTGCAGACAAAGTTCACATGTGGTTCGAGGCAGCACCACGGCACACATTAACAGTTAGTGTGCGAGTGTTATGAGTGTGGAGTGCGTCTTGAGTGCTGTGATTTGCATACAGAAATGTCGACCACGGGTGGTGTTCTACGGACGGGTTAACTTCGGAGATAATATCGCGCCCAGTATTTTCAGGTAACACTTTATACGGAGTTTATAGTCATAAATATATATCTATTTATATGTTTATACAGGCAACCGCGCCAATACGGGTTAGGTTCTAGTCAGCAAAGTGGAGCGTGATCACACAGCAGAGCAAACTACCTTAAGTCAAGAAATTGATTTAAAAAAACAATCTTATGGTAATCAACTGACACTGGTAGCCCCTCCCGCCTCGTCAGTCCTGTCTCAGCATGCCTTCCTCCCGGCCGGGCATGCTGATATGTTAATGTTACCATGGACTGGAAATTATGTCAACTGTGTGTCCGCTTCCCCATTTCTATCAATGTCACGGTGCAAAGTGATCAGTACTACTTCTACGAAGTAGTACGGATCTGCAACTACTTCGACAGGAAGTAGCCGCATGTGTGGTGACACACGTCAAACAGTACGGCAGTCACGGGACGGCGCGCTCACCGAGACCGCGCCGAATCGGCGCCGCTTCCTGGTGCCGACACCGGCGCCGGCGCCGGCGGCGGCGGGCGCCGCCGAGCTCGATTCGGACGTCACCGACTCCGCGTCGTCGTCGTGGCTGCTGCTCAGTCGCTTCCGCTTTGGCATCCTGCGTGGACGGCGGCGCGGTCAGTCAGAGTCGGTCCGGGTCAGCCCGGGTCAGCATATTATATATTAAAGCATATTATCTAGCTGGGGAAGAGCCATAAGTATTGTTCTCAAACAAAATTCACAATGTTCACCTGCCATTAGACAAATATACTCATAAGTGGCCAGTAAAATATACTCCAATTTAGACATCAGTTTTATAGCATAACCATAGGTCATTCTTGCACTAACACTTGTAACAAACAGACTGCAAAACATGCATGTTACACAAAACACATATATCATAGCTGTGACATCTCTTGCACAGCTGTGATCTCTGGTAAAACTGTGACATCTCTGGAGTAGGTTTGATATCACAGCAAAGAAGCTGCCAGGGTTTCATGCATAGTCATGTGAGGACAAATTTGGAGTATTTGTGCCTGATATAACCAGTGCAGCAACACAATCTCCATATCTGCAAAAGGTTCCAGGCCTGGCAAGATATTCTGAGGAGGTTTGATCCTCCTGTCTCAAATTTTCCTAATGACCTAACTTCTAATTGCACCAACTGACTGCACTAATAGCCCTCACCACTCCACTTGAGAAAGGGCAGAATCAAACTAAATTTACCTGTTACATTACCAAATGCATCAGCATTTCATCAAAAAGCATAACATGTCATGGCTTCTGAGCTGCTTCAATGAGACTAGCCTGTATGACATGCAGATGTTTGTGGGTGGTTTATGTGATCAGTGCAAACAGCAGAAACTGTAACACACTAAATGCTCCATGCTTACAAAAAAAAAATTGTCTGAGTGCCTCAATCTAATTGGTGGAACTCTGGCTAGCAGGGGGGGGGGGAGGGAGGGGGGTTACATGAGCAGCTGCATGCAGTCCTGGACAAGATAACATCACAGCAGTGAAGACAACTATGATCCAGTTCACAGATATGTGGTTCATTTAGCTTTGGGGATTGCCAGATTTACAAAGTGTCATTCTGTCATTGTGTTATGTGTCATGGTGCATTTTCTGGCTCCTCCCAATCTCTGCCTGACCTCAACACCTGACACAAGGTAGGCTGAGCTGTACCAAAATAATGTGAGCTACCCTACTTGAGGAATTCTGGCCCCTAAAATTCAAAATCAGCCTGAAATATCATTGTTTTGCACAAGTCCTGCTCCAACAAGATCTTGTCCCAACCTGCCAACAATTGGTACCTACAGATCAGAATGGGCCTCTGCAGGCCACAATGTGCTCCCACAGTAAATAATGAGCCTTTTGTAGGCTCAGAATAATCCTCTTTTGGTTACAGTGAATCCTAAAAGGACCAGAATGAGCCCTCAACAGGCCAGAATGGCCTTCAACAGGCTTACGTAACCCCTTTACAGTTCAGAATCAGTTCTTGACATACCAGAACGTACCAACCAACCATACCAACAGGCTCTCCGAGTTGGGGGGAATCGGGGGAGACAAAACGGCACCATACTGCAGCTTTCAACTTGGGAGGAGCTGTCTCCACTGCCCCTCCCCCTGACCACTGCAACTGTGCTCTGAGTGAAATATTTTAAACCAGACATGTTCAGGGTATATTTATTTGCAGTTTGCCACCTATGCCCAGAATTTTTTCACTGAGGTGGTTCTTGAACCTTCAGGCACATGGACAGTTCTCATTACATTTTGGTAAATTATAATGAACTACAAAATAACAGTGTATCAAGAGCTCAATCAGGAATAGGGGCAGAAAGCTGAATATTGACTGACTGTCATTGTTCAAGGGCATTACATCCAAAGTCTGCAAAAATAATCCATTGTGATGGAGGCTCTCAGCACTGAAATTACATCATGCATGCTATTAATTGAAGTCAAGCCTACCTGTGCTGAATTTCTTTATGCCCTAAATTTCAAAATATTCAAAGGGTAATTTTCTTGAAATCACTCTTGATGTAGTTCCCTGGCATGTTAGGGCTTTTTGCTGAACCTGGTCTCAGTGACACACCAAACTCTGGGCTTAGATTTACTGTGCACACACCGAAATTGTTGCTGAGATGTCACTGCTGCACCAGACGTATTCAGCATGGTGTATGCGTTTTTACAGCCTAACATTGTTTCTCACCTGCCAAATACTTCGCAGTAGGTATGTCCTCTTCCTACCTGCCAGCTCTCAAGTACCTATCTCAGTACCTGTTTGGATGTTAAGTACAAGCTGCACTCAAAAGGCATCAGGACTAGTCCGACCAAAAAACTGTACTTCCCCCTTTATATAATTAAATGGCGTACACCACAGCACATCCCGGCAGTCACAACTCAATCTCCGGACCCGGAACGTAAGCATCGCACTAGTGCATTATCTTGAATTCATTCATTTTAAAAGAAGAAAAACATCAAAGCAGGCATTCCTGGGCGCACTCTGAGGCGAAGTCAATTAGTTTGGCGTCACAATTGCTCAGGGAACAAATCAGCTGCCTCCTACTGCTATTTTCCACCAAACTGTGGAACTTTTCAGCTATTAAAACTACCAGCATATTCCAAAATGATTTGCGTTATTATGAAATAATGATGTTGATTGGCATCACATGGCATCATGTTATTGCGGCATACTACGACCACAATTTGTATTAGGGCCCGACGGTAGTCTTTATTCACCCTCGTCCATGGAGTTCCAACAACCGCCACCTCCAAGATATCTCCGAACACTTGTGCGTTAAACCCACGCTAAAAAACGGCACTCCCAAGTCGCTTATTAGCTTCGTGAGGCAGTGGCACAACTTCCAATGCAACCTTTAGCAGGTCAAACCAGGTCAAGGTGTCGGTTTTGAGCTTTATAGACCCGTCGTCATTACATCGAGAACTGATAAGGTTGCGGCAAGTCACGGCCTTACGAAAGACGGCATTGAAGAGCCTATGAAGAATTTGATTGGACAACCGCAAGTGAACATCGACGTAGGTGGCTTGCATGTCATCAGATCTAAGGGGCGAAGACACAGCTGCCTCCTGCTCGGACGCACACCTGCGGTCAAGCCGGGCTGATCGGAAGCAGGCCTTGATACCAACGAGCCCAGCCAGGATTTGGCACCGCTGCAATACCACCCGCCATCGCTTAACACGAACGGTGCCAGTGTAATGGCAATGTGCACGAGTGGAGATGTGAACCGGACCGTATTTTACCTGGTCCGAAACATTCGAAAAAAGACTATAAAGATGTTGAGGAAACGTTTCCCGGTCGTACAGCTGTCGAGCCAGGGCTCCCATGTCATCTACAGACTACAAAGTGACGGTCAAGTCATCTGAAAGTTTGTTCGAAGGAGCGTTCGTGACCTCAAGCACGAGCGGCGGTTTGAGCTGGTCCGCCGCGGCCGAGCGGGTTCCGGACGCCACCAGTCAAGTTCAACAGGCCAACAACAGATGGTTCCACTGCTTCGGAACGAGTCCTTGACTGCCTGCTAAACACCAGGCAGCAAGAAGGCGGTGGGAAACGCTTTAGCGCGTTCTCTCGGTGTGGCTCGGTTTTCTGTAAACTAGGGGTGTGGGGGCCAGGGCGTGCTTGTGAAAGGCGAGGAGGGGCTGCCGCCAGCTGACCAGCTGGAGGGCGGCCCTCCGGCAGCGAGGGATGGAGGTGGCGGGCTGAATCCCGGCCCTCGGCCCAGCTGATCCCGCCGCGTCGGGCCAGCTGATCTGGCCGCTAGTCCAGCACGTCAGACAAAAACAAGGCTGTGATACACTGCCGGCGGTTTATGAAACTTTCGCAAAATTACCGCCATTCCGTCATCTCGTTGGGAATTTTGTTCATTGCTAGAAATGCTACGAGTTTTTGGGCGACTTACCCCAGGCAGCATTGTTACGGCTATTCGCCGAACTAACGACATTTTTATGCATGTTATGGAAGTTTAGAATGATATCTGACGTTTTTGGAAAGGTTTGACTAAATCAAGTATAATTATGTTTTAACTGGTCGGCATTGTTCACTGCGCTTTTGCGTTAAAGGATGTAAATAGTAGTGGCGTTCAAAATCGTTTTTCATGCACGATTTATTTAGAATAAGTCCATCAGGAGGGGCGCCGGAAGCGTTCAAGAGTGTGGCAGCAACCACTGCTGCTTACAACAGTGCTAAGAAGTCATGCCTTTGCAGGAGGTTTTTCTGAACGGCTCTGTTTTCAAGGACAGGGGCTCGCGAGTTGCGCTCGTCGTGGGGGGGAGGGGGGGGGGCAAAACAAGTGCAATACTTTGCGCTATAGTTCAGTGCCCTGTGTCAACAAGGGGAAGACTGAAAAAACGGCAAAATTTGTTAGCTCCACACTAGCAGAGCTTTGAAGAAGGCTGTCGCCTTCCATTGACAAGTGCTGCTTGTGTTAAGCCACCAAAACATGTCAGCAGCAGCAGCTCCGTCACGACTAGGTGACCTCTGGCGCCCTACGCTGGTAACAGCAGGGATGACGCAGCAGATTGACGGCTGGCGCCCGGGGGCAGGAGCGGCGGTGACCTCGGGCTCCCTCGTTGGCAACAGCAGCGGTGACGCGGCAGGCCGGCGGCGATGGCGCAGACGGCGTGAGGCGAGATGGAAAGAGATAACTAGCTCGCGAGCGGCTACAAAACACGGAAAACAAAACGTTCAGCTATTTACCACGGCTATCGGCACATCGATCAGGTTATTCTTGACGGACGTCTGAAGGAGAAATGAAAATGTGGAAATCAGAAGAAGAAGTCTATGAGGATCGTTGGGACGATACATCAGGTTATGTTTGTACGCACGTCTGGAAGTGTGTAGCAGGTATATGACTAGTTGAATCCACTAAGTGCTGGAGGAACAAGCAGGCAGACCTTCATGCAAAGCTATATTCATATTGATCTCGGTTCGACAATTCAAATGTAGGTGTCATGTAGCGCTTGTGCTTTTTCCCAAATGTAGCTGTAGGTATTTAGAACAGCGATGCAACAGAATATTTACAATAGCGAACAGCCTATGTCAGCTAGCGAAGTCTGCAGAATAAACGCGTCGGCTTTACAGCACTATAGGACTTACGAAACACGACGAGCATTACCGAGTATGTGCCTGTGCCTCCTGGAGAACCAAATCCTTAAAAACATGAGCCTGAAAGCACGTATATACTGCAGATATGTCGATGGCATGTTTGTTGATGTTAGAGACGAAGCCCACCGTCATCAAATAAAGGCTATTATACGGCGGCAAACGTTGGTACGATTTACAGCTGACCTGAGTGCCGACAACCATTTACCATTTTTGACCTCAATGTGGACGCGAATAACGAATCTTTTGTCGCGAAAGTGCACCGCAAACCCACTGTTGCTGGCAAATGTATAAACGCAGCAAGCGAATGCCCTGAGCCTTACCGCGCGGCCGTCATCCGGTCGTTTGTACGTGCTCTAAAATATTGCTCCAGCTGGTCCAGCACGCACCACGAACTTGAACGGCGCGAGCCATCGTTCGTTAATAACGGCTGTTCCAACACCGGAAATGACGAAGAGGTCAAGTCCTCCTGGAATCGATGAAACCAAAAATCATTCAGCAAGAAACCGGTCCATAATTTTTTTGTCCAAATCAAATGTCTCTTGGCATATCAGGTGCAAACGAGGACACGGAAACGAGACTCACTAGTACAAGAGCAAGACAACTAGTAGCCTTGCAATGAAAGACAGCCTGACAGCTGACCAAAACCAATTAAAGCGCAGATTGAACGATTTTCGCCTGCCAGACAACAAACTACAGCTGACTTGAGATCCACACTAATATTTCATAAAGGTAGCACCGGTAAAATAGTAATATTAATAGGCACTGGTAATACAGCACTGACCCATAATCTTCACCACATGTCTTTTTGTCAAAGTTTTTTGGACTCTTGCAGGAATGAATCGTAGGCCTTCATTGATTCCGGTCAGGCTGGTGTCATATTTCGATAGAGCTTTATCGTGGATGGAATAATTGGTCAGACTATCGTCGTCGTCTCGTGTGTTAGTTTGAAATTGCATGAAACTTAACTGATTTTGTTTGTTTACTTTCCTTTTTTGATTTAATTGACTCAAGTAGTTTCCGACACACTGCAACTTTATCCAATTCAGTTCTGAAATTCATCACTCACAAAACGCTTCAGCCAAAATCTCTTGGGCGTTTACGTGGTTGACTGTGGAAAGGAACATCAGCTTCAAGTACACTCAAAATATGCAACTGATTGTTTGATGTGAGTGCACTGTAAACTGGTGTTGCGTTTGTTAGGAGACGTTTTCCCCGCGAGCCGGCCGGTCATCGCATTGGTCACCGCCCCAGGCGGCCTGCCGCATGGGCGGGTCCAGGGGCGCTAACACCTCCCCTCCCCCCCCCCTCCACAAAAGAACTCGTGTCCCACATTCTCCCCCCCCCCCCCCCCACCACAAGAACTCGCAACGAAGCCAAAACAAAACACAACAACAAAAACAGTTTGTACAACGTATCACAATCTGAACTGCGTCTTCTCCACGCACTTCCATTTCAGCTCCTCAGCTCAGCTCAGAGGGACGGGTGCCGGAGCTGCACCAGCCATGGGGGAAGGCGCCCGATCAACCGGAGGCATCCCTCACGGGTGAGGTGGATACCGTCCCCCCCCCCCGCTCCCCCCCCCCAAGCAGCTCCGCTCCGGGGTGAGCCAGTGGCGCCGTCTGCCCTGCTCGTCCCATCGCCCCATCACGGTCAGCGACCGCCCGACAGAGAAGAAGCCCACTCGAGGTCCAGACAGCGACGCCAGCTGGCGGTCGAGTCGGAACTCCGCCGTCTTCTCCCACGCCGCCGTCGCGTCGACCCGGGGACGTGGCACGGGCCCCAGAATGACGATGTGGTGCCTTTAGGCGGTCTCCGACACCGCTGCCCTGATCAGGCTCATCGGGGCCGCGCTGATCTTGTCGTTCCGGGCGTAGATGTCACTCTGGCCAAGCTAGAAAACGACCGGTTCCCTCGGGACCCCCGCTTCGATGAGACCTCCTCCCACAGGTCCACGGTCTCCTGCAGGAGGCCGGCCTGGCGTGTCCAGGTGTTGCCACCTGCGGCCACGCTCATGGCCTGGACCCCGCGAGCCGGCCGGTCGTCGCACAGGTCATCGCCCAGGTGGCCGGCCGCACGGGCGGGTCTAGGGCGCTACCCCCCCCCCCCCCCCCACACACACACACACAAGAAACCCGCGCCCCACGCTTTGTTGACTGCCTAAGAACATGACGTAGTTTTACCGCATGACTTGCCATTGAACTCAACTTGTTACAAAGCGATTCCGTCTTCAAATCTTCAGAGGTGTGTTATGCGTACGACATGCGTCGTGCTTAACCTGAAACGTTTGCAAGAAAGGCGGCC